AAACATACATACAATACATACAATACATACAATACATACATACAATACATACATACATACATACATACATACATACATACATACATACATACATACATACATTTGCCTTTACCTACTTTGAATTTAACATTTCAGAAACATATTTATAGATCTTGCCACCTTTTTTATATTGAAAAACAGCGCGGTAAATGGAGATAAAGGTCTCTTTGCTAAGATACAGATACAACAAATAATAGCCCGTCAAGAGAACTCAGGAACACACTAACCTAACTAACTAACTAAATAACTAACTAACTAACTAACTAACTAACTAACTAACTAACTAACAAACTAACTTACTAACTAACCGACTTATTTACTTTAGTACTTACTAATTAACCTACTTACTTACTAACTAACTAACTAACTAACTAATTTACTAACTAACTAACTAACTAACTAACTAACTAACTAACTAACTAACTAATACTCATACTTTAAATTAATTTACATCCTGTAAAATAAATCATTTATTATGGTGGAAAATTTAGAAATTATTGAAGAGTAGATGGATTTCGTAAGCATGACGTCTATTAGCAAGTATCATGAATAAATTAATATTTTAAATGAACAAAAAAGATTTACTATTTCCTAGTTACTGTAGCACAAAAGCGCTGAAAATTGTTTCCTTGAACGGCTTTCAGCGTTATTCATTCTTGCCGATGAATGGCTGTCGATGTTATCATTAAAAAGAGGCGAACGGCTGATAACGTTACTAAAATTTTGATGACACTCGGAGTGACTCCAACTTAAATACCTTATAACTTTTACAGAAAATCATTTTTGAAGATATGGGTTGGAATATTTAATGACGAAATTTTGACGTTTACGAATCGTATGATAAAAGGATTTATTATCATGAGAAAACATTTTTTCCCTATTGAACTTAGAAGAACCGAAAGTGTGTGTTATTATAAATGCATTCTAACACGACCCGCATTTTTCTCTATTGAACAAATAATAACGGAAAGTGTGTATTATTATGCAGTTTGACGTTATATATTTAGACATGTGACGTTATCATTATACACGTGACGTACCCACTAAAATTGGGATTTAGCTCAATACAGGATTGGAGCAGTACCTCTAGACACAGATACTTGGGGTTTGGAGCTCAAAACGCCTTTAAAATCCAAATAAAATGCATATTTGTCAATCCCAGGACATGTACTGATCATATATATCAAAAAATCTTAATATATGCCGTTTTAAAAAAAAATCATATTTCAACAACTATAATAATATTATAGTTGTTGAAATATGATTTTTTTTCAAAACGGCATATATTAAGATTTTTTGATATATATGATCAGTACATGTGCTGGGATTGACAAATATGCATTTTATTTGGATTTTAAAGGCGTTTTGAGCTCCAAACCCCAAGTGTCTGTGGCAGAAATCATGATCACAAAATAGACAAATATCGTTTTTTTCGCCGAATTTTACATTTTTCCTTGATTATCGTACTTGATTCGGTGTGAAAAGATGAATTAGACCTGTTAAAGTTCATTCCGTTGGGTTAAAAGACAAGATTTTAGCATTTTATCATTCGAGCGCCTTGTCCGGTATATACCGGAATACGGTATTTAGTGTGGTGCTCCAATCCTTTTTTTAGTCACAGCCCTAAAATTGTGACGCGCTGAAAATAAGTACGGAAACAAATCAGGACCAATTTAGCTTATTATCAGGTACGGCGGCATTTATTTGTTGATGTCGTGTTAGAATCGAAATAATATATCCAAATCGGATTTTATCGCATGATAAAATCACTGTTTGTTGTTCGGGTGCGCATTATTATATCACTCTGGCTCTTGCATCCGATCTCCAAACAGTGATTTTATTTTTAAGCGATAAAATCACTGTTTGGGATATATTATTTTTCAAATAGTTGTGAAAATAATATCAATTTCAATTTATTTACAATAACACTCAGTTTGTATAATTTACAAAACCATGAGCAAATCAAATATGCAAACATATTAAAGAAATATCAAGTATTGGATTTAGAGAAATTTGCATGAAGTCTAATGTGACCACTGCTTTAAATAATGCAAAAGTTATTTCAATACCATTAGAAAAACAAAACAAAACAGAAATGAATATGATAATAACTAGATAAATTATGAACAGTCTCTTATATGGTATACATTGTTCTTATGGTAATTGACATTACGCCAGAGACGGGATCGCTCCGCCTTCTGATTCACGTGACCCGGTCAGTAAGAACCTTAGACAAAATACGGTATCGATGTATTCGCAAAACTGTTTTGCCACCAATGAATTTACCTTATATAATTTTTCTGAATATAAAATTTTGATGCTTTCAATGGTTTTATTGAAAAGTATATCTAATATTCACTGTATAAATGTATTATGGTATTTCAAAAAAGTAAAAAAAAAAAAATAAAAAAAAACAAGAAAAAAACAATATCTGCATTCACTAATTAATGATGAATGAAATGTTTATTAAAGCGACTTAACTGTGGTTTTTGACATGATGGGACTGAAAATATTTTTTCCACATAAATGTACCATTTGTTGAAGATTTAGACCACTAATCTTTGTGCAAACTTTCAGATCATTCGCCCACTTCGTTTTTCCAGAATAATTATTCAACTTGTAAAAATCAATCGAAAATAAAAAGCGTTTAAACGCTTTTAACTGAAATCGGGCTAGAAAAAAAAATGATTTTCAATTTATTTCAAGGTATATATTTTTTAACTATCTTTGCATATATTTCTGTTTAAAGTGCCCCAACTCATATAAGTAAAAAAATTTAAATGTTATGTCTTAGGCTTTAAAACCTCAGTGGAGTCCCTTTAAAGATCGTCTTATTTCTTGTTGACTTCAGTGAAAATTAAAAACATCACTATATATTTTATTATATCTTACAAATTCAAAGAGAGGCTATATGTAGAAAAGAATATGATTATGTTATGAACGTTTTATTTTGAAATTGAAAAAGCGAAACAAGTTAAGTTATATTAGTGACACAAATAAATTTGAAAACATTTTCCGGGTTTAATGTGCGGCATTTAGATAATGCATTAATTTGTTCGTGAATTGTTAAAATTGATTCAGAAATTGTCATGCCCTTGTTAACTTTTTATACGTGATTATGTATTGTTAACATATATTTGATATGACTCACGACATAACACAACGTTATTTTCTTGATGTTATTGGTATTTGAATATTTAATATTAATTTATTGAACTTTAATAGAAATAATCAGGTTAGCTAATATCATCCAATTTGTTATTGTATTTACTCATTTTATTTAATTTTATCCATGAAATATGGTGCTATATCAGTCAAATATATTTCATATTTTTTAAAAATAAATCTGAAATATAAATATGAAAGTGGGCGGAGTCAAAACTCATATTTATTTTAGGGGACTTCTTTCGCCATTTTGTTTACAAAATCTGATAGATAAATAAATAACAACTTTTTGTTGAATTTTGATTTGAAAACTATCTAGAATGATAGAAAATGGTCTAACTAAGAAAATAAATTCGAACACCAATATCTTTAATTCAGTCATTAACGCTGTACAGACGTTTAAAAAGTTGTTTACGTGACGTCACAATGTAGCGCTAAATATCGCGTGCAATACAATACAAAAATTATATTACTGCGCGCTGTACAATTATTGCAGTTGCGTAGAAAGCAAGGGGGTTCGTAACCATTTTTCTTTGATATTGAAATTAAATAAAAAGGTTATTTTTTCGTTTTCGTGAAATATGGTATATATTTTCACTCAACATGATAAAATGCCACATATTTTCGTGAAAATATGTGGCATTTTATCATGTTTCGTGAAAATATATTCCATATTTCACTCAAACGAAAAAATATCCTCTTAATATTTGTATTTCTACGGCTGCGTTTTTATTGGCGCTATACGTTATAAACGAAAAATAGTCACATATTCTGGAACCTTATGATATGTAATGTGATTATGAATAGATAGAATGGAAATAAAAAAGTGGATTTGTTAAAACATTTTCCTTTTCCAATGCATTGTGTAATAGCCAGGATAAATGTTAAGTACTTAAAAAAAAATTATTATTTCCATATGTAGAAAATTATTGACTTTTTGTATAATAAACTTACTCGACCTGTCAATATGTCAGTATATTTGGTAACTTAATTAATAAATCGATTAAAAAAAGCTTTAAATTGACAGAAAATTAAAATAATTTCAATCTAAACTACTTCTGTACCATTGTCTTAGACAATTAGCTTTTCTAAGGAAAATGGTGGACTTCGCAGGCATCTTAGCGTGGAACTGATAACGATCGCTGATTGGCTTATCTCTGTGACCCCTGCCAGTTTGACTAACAGGCGGCGTAATGTCAATTGTATTTTCATTGATGTTTATGTTGATAAAATACACAATACATGTCATTGTTTGTAGAAATATGCAATTCATTTCTATATTCAACAAATAAGATAGTTAAAATAACATTCTGTACTGATATGTCTTTTAAATTTTCTATTTTACGAAACTTAAATTAAATTAAGAAATATTGTTAAGATGTAATTTTATTTAATTAATTGGTACTGAGCGTTAATTATAGCGCATTAGGGTAAAATTAGCCAGGGTTGACTCTCGGGTCAATATTGCCAAACAATTAAGTATATTAACCGATAAATGTATTAGTTTAGTCACGGATTTATATAAATCCGTGGTTTAGTTTATACAAATTTATTTTAGTTCGATTGTGTTGGAACTTGGAAGCTATAAGCTTATTGAAACACTCTCGAATCCGTTCAGTAGCCTAATGTTTTGACTTTCACTAGATGTATCCGAAAACTGGCGGAAAGGGCCAAAAAGTTGCGATTGTTGTGAGACCCCAATCGCAACTACTCGGCCCTTTCCGTCAGTCTTCGGATAAGGTTATTATAGATAATAGCCGAGGCAGTTCCGATTGGTGAGACTCCTACGCAGTGATCTCCCCTTAATCACTGTGAGGTGTTCGGATTGTTCAATCGCATTGCGGTTTATTTTTAGAAATAGAAAAACCCAGCTGTAGCCAAAAATAGACAAATATTTTTAAAGAAGAAACGATGATAAATCCATTGGTGAGTTTTTTTTCTAATGTCCATGTAATTTACATTCCATGAAGTTATTTAGCAAGAATCATTGACCTATGAACTCGTGAGATCTTTTAGTAGATGACTGTAGATCTGGACAACCAGTTTCGGTTTTCCAAAAATGACAATGACGTACTTTTATTCCGTCGATTTATTAGTTTCATTACTTTATACTTAATCATAGCTTTTTTGTTTGTTTGTTTTGACATTCTTGCGCAATGGGATTGTTTTATTTTCTGAAGAGAAAAACAAAAGATTAAAAACTATATATTATATACAGTAGATCTATGTTGAAAGGATAATGTTCTGTGTAATATTGGACGGTATGTCTAAATACCGAATATGAACTCGTATTCGCAATACTGAATATGAATATTATTGTCTGAAAAATCAGCACTTTTGGGATTATTTTTATCATCTGACATTATTTTATATATATTATATTTTTAATTGTATCATCTGTCTTTGAATAAAAGAAAATGATTTTCTGAATTTAATATTGGATCACCTTAAATCATAATCTGTTTTGGTTAACAAAATAAAAAAGAGATTATTATGTTACAGTAATGTTACAGTAATTGCACTTTTTAAAATGTATTTGTTGTAATAAATGTTAATACCAGTGGAAAATGAAATAAAAAGAACAAGTATAAGTGCATGTAAGTATTTATTGCAGGTGTGTTGTTCATTAATTAAATTTGAATTAGTCATTATTTAAGCAATATGTGTTGTATGAAATATTATTTGTACAAGGTGTCGCAAGGAGAAGGATCAAATATAGATTTTCACAGTATCTAGTTACAATGTAAAATGATCTCGGTTTAAATTTTATTTATAAAGATGTTTAAATTTGAACTTAAACTTTAAAGAATAAGTAATGTTATTGCATTTAGTATAAATATAATTATTGTAAAAAAACGGTTTTCATTAAAAGCTAAAAATATTATCTGCCTTAACAGTGCAATTCACGTTATGAACTAATTTTAAATTTTTGCAAAAATAAATGAAATCATGAATTATTTTTGTAGTTTATATATGTATGTAAGCACACCTATTTATAGATAAGTTATTATTTGACTTTGGTTTTTGGGAAACCAATGTGGAAGTTACATTCTTATAAAGATCAAAATTTATTTTGCTTTTGTTGTAATTTTCATTATGAAATGAAATGAATTATTTTTAAAGCCCTTGGACAAAATTTATGTTTTTTTTTTGTTTTGTTTTTTTCTGTTTATTTAAAAAAATTGTTTATGTTAAAATTTAATTTGTAAATTTATTATTAACACAATTAACAATTTGCATATTTTTAGAAATCACAGACATGCATCATCTTGCAAACTCTTTCCTAGATGAGGTTATTGATTGGATTGATTATTTAAGTCTTGCAAATTTCCTGCAAATTTTTGTCCACGGTAGATCTACTACTAGAGGACATTCAAGATCAAGGTTTGTTTTCATTTCTATTTTTTCTAAACAAGGTTTTAAAGGATCAAGTCTTTGCAGTTATAAGAAATAGATTCTATAATTTGCAACAATAAACAAATATGCCAAATTCTCAAGCTATATACCAGGGGCGTACGTCTGCTTATTATGAGTGTACGCCGAGTGCCGGTTTTTGGCCGAAGGATCGCCAGAGACTTATATATCAAATATAGCTTTGTGCACTAACTAAGGATTTAGGGGATATTTTAGCTTATTGTACTACTATTGTCTTTATCTATAGTTATGAAAATAGTACATAAATTTGAATGTAATAGAAATAACGCGTAGTTCTAACGTGTACACTGTTTTTAAATAGTTCAAAAATATTTGCTTTTACAAAAAACAAAACATAGCCAGGGTGTCTCTCTTGTAAAAAAAGATGGGTTTTATTTCCTTTTGTAACAAGTTTAGTTTTTTCTTTGTTATTCTCTTTTGTTCACTATAACTTAACGTGAGATATAATCAAGGAAAATATGCTTTACTGGGGCGTACCTTGGCTTATTTTGAGTATGTCAGCGTCTTTGGTCGAGACTTATATCAAGATAGCTCTTTGCTATTACCAGGGATTGTACTACTTAAACATTGTCTTTATCTATATTTATGAAAGTAACATCAAGTACATGTATTGAATGTAAGAGAAATTGCACAGTCTAGATTTACACTGGCTTAAATGATTCATAAAAAAGTTATTTACTACCGTGTATTAGAAAAAAAACTAAACATAGCCAGGTGTCTCTTTTGTTATGAAGATGAGTCTAAGAAGTCTTTTTCCTTGTTATTTTTCTTTGGTTTCACCATACCCGTAACATGAGATATAATCAAGGAAAATATTATTTAAAATAATCTGTATAACGATAATACAAACAAAATAGCTTAAATGTTTTTGTGTAACAATAGGTTATCGTATTCACATCTAAATTGTAGTATCGCGAGATCATTTAAGTCCTATAAAAGTATTTCCAAATGTGCATTATGTCAATGTTAAAGAAAATAATTTTTTATCTTTAACAATGTTTTTCTCAACTATTTTGTTTCAATTTTCATCGAAATGTTTAAATTAGTTCAGTACATTGTTAAATGACTAACGCACATAAAAGCATGTTGGTATATAATCAGAAGTCGGTGAAAATAAAAGAATCGGGACATGATGTGTCTTATTATCTCTTATATAGGTATACGTTGTTCTCATTGTATATTTATCTATGTTTCATATTGTATATTTATCTATGTTTCATATGTATAGATGAGACTATGTACGGGGGTTATCCAAAAATTCGTGGACTTTCATTGTTGCGTAAAATACATTTGAGATTCTTACATTGCTTAGAAGAATAAATAACAAATAAACACAGAAAAACTCATGTTAGTAGCTTCTTATATGACAACAATATTTAATTCTACATAAACAGCGGCGCACTCCAAATGTTAATGACGTTAACGTCATAATAACGTACTTCAATATGTATAGATGAGACTATATATATCATTGTTTACAGTAGGTTGCAATTTATTTCTATAGTCAATAAAATAAGACGGTAGAAATAACTTTATATATTGATATATTTTTAGGTCAAATAAATATAAGTTGACTATGGTTTGCGACGATAGATGTGGGCAATGGTTTTGAATAAAATTGATATAAGATGAAAGAATGTTACTAACTTAGAAATGATATAGTAACTTATAACTATAAGGTTAAATATAAAAAATAATTACATATGGTCAACTCCCTTCCATTGTGCTACAGATGTCTAGTTGCAGACAAGACTTAATTTTGCATATAAATGTAAAATAATGAAATAAATGTTCAGTTTTCATTGATTTTGATTCTGCGGGAAAGATGATTGTAAATGAATTTGACTTTTTATTATCATTATTTGGGTTAATTTGCATTATAACATAGATTATTTTGATAACTCAATCTGCAGAAAGAGAAATTTCCAAAGAAATTATTCATATCATATTTTTTTACATTGTGTTCGTCATTCCGTGGCTCTGTAGAAAGGCCGAACATTTTTGTTTTCGGAGTCCTTAATAGAATCCGCATACAGTAGGATATTATAAATTAAAATCTTAAGATAATTTAAACGATACCTCCATAAAAACTTTTATTAGGCCACAGAAAATTAATTTTTAGACTCTCATCCTCGCCCGCCCGTATCAAAATCTTTCCGCTCCAAAATAATTTATTTTCATAAAAAAAATTGTTCATTTCGCAGACGTCTGTGGACGAAAATTCGTCCGAAAATCGTGGTCGAATATTCGCGGGACAAACGCATAGAAATCAGACTGAGATTTACAGCGTCTAGTGATCAAGATTTTAAATACGTTCGTTTTCGATCAGTAAAATTGTCAAAATGTTCGTCTTATGTGAAATATATGATGCAGTAAACAAGAAAACTGTTTGTGATTGGTTTGGGTTTAGTTTTGATCAAAATCTGGGTGGAAATGATGCGACGTTCATCAATATATTTGAAAAATTTTGCCAGTTGAAAAGCCTTAATCTTGACCACAGAAGCTGTGTAGTGAATGTGAAGTTGGGACAAAATAAACACGAGTTGACGAGTGTCTCTCCAATAAAAAAACATAGCTTCAAAAATGTAAAAGATGATTGTAAGTAACAAATCTTACAACATTTAGTATTATTCTCATTAAAATATAGATTTAAACACTTTTGTTTATTCATACATTTCTGTTTTTTCAGGTCTTAAAAGTGATGGATAAAATAAATTATAAATTCCACCCACCCGCCCCAATTATTTCTTGAAACCTGGATGAGAGTCTAAAGATTAATTTTCTATGGCCTTACAGTGATTTCAGATTGAAACAACGATAGATCAATTCTCACTAAAATTGTGTATACACATTATCAAAATAGGTAACACATATTCGAATAAGGAAACATCCTCAGCATACATAAAGAATCAATTAGGAGCTACAAATATGTTGATCGATCTATGTCCGATTTGAAATTTTCTTTTTTTTTCTTTTCATACACCCGTGCGTATTTGGCGTATCGGTAGGTACGCCACTGTATGCATGTTTGTAACTTGTGGCAGAATCTTAATAAATACAAGTAAATTATCATCATAGAATTAGGACCTCGCAGCATAATTTCATATATATATTGTAGAAATTACATATAAAATGTATTAAGTAATCATGGCTTATTTCACAGCTAGAGGAAGTGATCCTACCCCTATATTCATTTGGGTAAAAAATGGTGAAAAAAAATGGGATGCAGTGCTATACAAATTTTTCAGGAATAGAGTTGTCCAGGACAACTCCCTTAAGTAGTTTAAAAAACTTGTCCTAAAATTGATCACAGGTGTCCAAATTTTCAGTATACATGGTATACATCTGAAGTAAAAACTTGATGTAAATTAAATTTAAAGCAACACCCCTCCAGATTTATGCTTATTTTCATGAAAATTTTGAAAATGCACTTCAAAGCATAATATTGTACAGTAACCAAAAGGAAACAATTTACACATTTTCAATGGGACTTACAACCCATGTGAATTACAAAAAGAGATGAAAATATGCGAAAATTACCCTTACACAAGTTACTGCACTAGTAACGCAGTAGAAATATTGTTGCAAATAATGACAGATAACTATTAATTGCTCATAACATGTAAATTATTACTCAAATCTTTAATCTTTCTACTTTTCCTAAGCTCATAGTACATCATAGTACATTTTCCTCAAGTTTGAATTTATTGAAATATTTTCGCTCATCTGGGGGCATGCTGCTTTAAGGGAAAAACTCAAAACTGCATGATTTAAAAAAAAATCCCAAGGGAAAGCAGCTCTGGCCTGCTATCAATGGCACGATTAAAAGATGAAAAAACACTAGTAATAACAATTTCTATTTCATTGATTAAATATCTTAATTTTTTTTAGCCTATGTGGCTTATGATCATGTATTTAGAATGAGTTTCTAAGATCATTATGGTAGTTTAGTGCTAAAAATATTGTCAAAAAGAAATTTTTTTAATAATCTTAGACACAGATTACAAAACATACATTTTTAATTACATGTGAACAAATAAACAAGTAGTTTACAACATAATATATGATACAGCATTTTTAACTATAAATGTCTGTAGCATCGTTGTCAATAATTTGTTTCAGTAAAAATTGCATTATTAATTTAAGATGCATTGTAATTGAATGTTAATTGTTTGTAACCAATCAACACCATGTATTAATGTAACCAATACATGTACTAGCTTTCTAATTATAGGCAAAATTGATTGTAGACTTAAATTCAAATTTTTAGGTTTAAGGCAAGTATTAAATTATACACAATAATTAATAAATAAATGGATTTTTTCATAATCACAACTTTTCTAAATGATATTCTGTGAAATGAAACAGGCTTTCATTTTTATGCCCCCACAATGTGGGAGCATATAGCGTTGCACTTGTCCGTCTGTCCGTACGTCCCAAAATCTTGTGAACGCAACTCCTCTTAAACCGGATGGCAGATTTTGCTTAAACTTCCAGGGATGAACAACCTTAACAGGCCTCGACACTAACATTTTTAGCAGGTGGTACGCCGGACCACTAGATTTGAAAGTTAGGTGGTCCTTCCAGAAGTTAGGTGGTCAGTTATCATTAAATGTTAATGGTTCCGCCGTCGGTATCCGACGATGCATAATTACTAGCACCATTTGAATGAATTTTGTACCTAAATTAATATCACAAATTCTAAACTCTTTTAACTTGCAAAACAAATTTTAGCGACTTCAAACGAAAGTTATCAATGACTTAAGAACTTCTTTTACTAATCAGAGATTAATGAACCATATACATGTACATCGGACACAAGATTTTTAACAAAATCATATAAACTGGTTTTGACCAAATCGCCATTCTTCCAAATGAGCTTTGCATCAACCAGAAAATTCAAGTGGTCCAACGGACCAATGGGTTTTAAAATTAAGTGGTCCTTGCCAAAATCAAGTGGTCTCGGACCAACGGACCACCGCTAATGTCGAGGCCTGCTTAATGTGTAGATGGTAGTAAAGAAAGGAATTTTTGCTGCAACCAAATTTAACAGGATTATGGCCCTTTGTAGTTTTCAATTTGTGGCACATGTAGTCCAAAAAATATTTGACCTAGAGTCATTAGATTGACAAAACAGTGGTGTGTGGGGGCATCCGTGTCCTATGGACACATTTCTAGTTTTAGCTTGCATGATTCTTTTAAAAAAAAAAAGTTATTACAGTCATGGTGTCGTTGACATTGCTGTTGCCGTCAAAAAGCATTAATGCTGGTCATTATTTTTTCATTTCTCAATGTATTGCCTTCTTAACAAAACTTTTTGGACAAGCCATACTGAACTTCACCTTCACTCTTAAATGGTCTTGATCAAATCAATGAATTTTGCTTGATTTTTGCTATAATTGGCTACAATTATATTAATGAATGGTCATCAAACTTGAGCCTAAATACCCTAAGAACAATGTCTTAAAAAGATTAAACTTAATTTGACTTTGACTTATAGATAACCTTGACATAAAAGTTCAAATCATTGTAATTTCACTACATGTGTACAACAATCCTTGGGACAAGTCATCAAATAGATATCTCATTTGAGATATCAACATGAAACTTCATGGGTGGATAGATCTCACTCAGGAGGTGTGCAGTGCACAAGAATGATAACTCTACCCTTCATAATTTTTGAGTTATTGCCCTTTGTTATTTTTCATACTTAATTTTTCACCTGAGTGGAGCATAACTCAAAAAGTCTTTGAGATGTCAACATGAAACTTCATAGGTGGATAGATCTTATTGAGGAGGAATGCTGTGCGCAAGAATGATAACTCTACCCTTTATAATTTTTGAGTTATTGCCCTTTGTTATTTTTCATACTTTTTGTCCGGAGCTTATCTCAAAAAGTGTTAGAGGTATCAACTTGAAACTTCATAGGTGGATAGATCTCATTGAGGAGGAGTGCAGCACACAAGAATGATAACCTACCCTGCATTATTTTTCAGTTATTGCCCTTTGTTATTTTCAGCCATCAGTATTCACATAGGTTTCACATCTGTAATCACTTCAGCCATCAGTTTTCATTACCAAAAGACCTCTTTAGCTTTAATTATTATGCTCTGCTACATATACATTCTTACAATGCGAAACACATTCGGCGGGGATGGTCATGCTAACATGGCTCTTGTTGAAGTTGACCTTGACCTTAATTTGTAATTTATTTATGGAATTGATTGATACTATGACAAAGGAACCCTTATTTATTCAAATATGACCTTGACCTTATTTGAGCTTGAACATCAAGGTCAAATTATTGCAATTTGCATTGTCATATACATGTACTTTGTTTTTTTGTCTCAGGGCACTCCTAGAAATATGCTGTATGGTCTTACATTAAAAATAAACATGTATCAAGGCTATCTCTAAAGTATTTAAATATGGAACATGAAGGTTACAATTAAAATTAGAAAATAGAAACAGTAAAAATAATTTTATAAAAGTTTAATCCGTTTTGGGTATTTACTTTCATGTACTTGTTATATTTCAGATGAGTTCCTTAACCTTAAGAGGTCCAAAACGCCACACCGTAAAAACATTGAGAGTTTACCCAAGGGTACATTACTTTCAAAGGAGATATCATGATCTTATACCAAGATTCAAAAGACTGACAGGTAACTTGAGCTCTATATGTTTTATTTCATATTTTTAGCTCACCTGTCACAAAGTGACAAGGTGAGCCTTGGTGATTGCAATTTGTCTGGCGTCCTTTCGGCTTCTGTCCGTAAACTTCACAGGAATATTCCTTTGGAGATCACCTTTAAAAATTGTTGAAAGAATTGAATTCCATTGAAAGCTTTGGTTGCCATGGCAACTGAAAGAAAAAACTTAAAAAGTTTTCTTTAAAAAAAAAAGAATCCAAAGAGCTAGAGCTTAGATATTTAGCAAGAACCACATCTTCTAGCGGGTGTCTACCAAGTAAATGCCCTGGGGTCAATTTGGCCCCACCCCAGGGTGTGAATGATTTCCCTTACACATATATAGGACTATAGGTATTCAAACTAACAAAAAATCTTCTTGTAAAAAATCCAAAGAGCTAGAGCTTAGATATGTAGCATGAAACATCTTCTGGTGGGTGTTTACAAAGTTTGTTCAAATAAAAGCCCTGGGGTCAAAATTGACCCCCAGGGGTCCATGACTTTTCCTGATATAGTAAATACTTGAAAAATCTCCTTCTTGAAAACTGCAAGGGCTGTATGTTACGATATTTAGCATGAAACATACATAGTCAGGTGAACCCTAAATTTTTTTTTTCAAATTAAAGTCCAGGAATCAAAATTGGCCCACCCTGGGGAAACATAGATTTTCTTATAATGTGACTTCTCATAGCAACCAGTGACTTTCCATAGTAACCATTGACTCCCATAGCGACCATTGACTTTCCATAGCAGCAATACATTTTAATAACAACCTGTGACTTTCTATAACAACCACTGACTTCCATAGCAACCAATGACTTTCCATAGCAACCATTGACCTTACAAAGCAACTTTTTCATAGCAACCATTGTTTTACATAAAACCCAGTTATTTCTATAGCAACTATAGTATTTCATAGCAAACCCATGACTTTCCATAGCAACCAGTGACTCATATAGTAACCATTGACTTTCCATAGCAACCACTGACTTCCACAGCAATCATGAACTTTCCATAGCAAACTAGTGACTTTCCATAACAACCACTTACTATTAAAGCAACCATTGACTTCCATAGCAACCTGTGACTTCCATAGCAACCAGTGACTTACCATAGCAGTTATTGACTTCCATAGAAACCATTGACTTACCATAGCAACCAGTGACCTCCATAGCAACCACTGAATTTCCAAAGCAACCATAGACTTCCATAGCAACTGGTGACTTTCTTCAACAACCATTGACTCCCGTAGTAAACAGTGCCTTCAAATAGCAATTAGTGAGTCTCATAGCAACCATTGACTTTCAATAACAACCATTCACTTTCCATGCAAACCATTGACTTATATATCAGCCAGTGACTTCATAGCAGCCATTGACTTTTTCATAGCAAACTGTTAATTTCCATAGAAACCAGTGACATTGACTTTTTAGCTCACCTGAGCTTGCTCAGGGTGAGCTTTTAGGATCGATGAATGTCCGTCGTCCGTCGTCCGTCCGGCCGTCCACAATTGCTTGTGAACACTCTAGCGGTCACATTTTTGCCTCAATCATCATCAAACTTGGTCAGGATGCTTATCTAGTTGAAAGCTCGGATGAGTTCGAACATGGGTCATCTCAGATGAAAAACTAGGTCACAAGAGCTAAAAATAGAAAAACCTTGTGAACACTCTAGAGGTCACATTTTTGACCCAATCATCATCAAACTTGGTCAGGATGTTTGTCTAGGTGATAGCTCGGATGAGTTCGAACATGGGTCATCTCGGATGAAAAAGTAGGTCACAGGAGCTATAAATAGAAAAACCTTGTGACCACTCTAGTGGTCACATTTTTGACCCAATCATCATCAAACTTTGTCAGGATTCTTGTTTAGATAATAGCTCGGATGAGTTCGAATATGGGTCATCTCGGATGAAAAACTAGGTCACCGGAGCTATAAATAGAAAAACCTTGTTAACACTCTAGCGGTCACATTTTTGCATCAATCATCATCAAACTTGGTCAGGATGCTTATCTAGTTGATAGCTTGGATGAGTTCGAACATGGGTCATCTCGGATGAAAAAGTAGGTCACCGGAGCTAAAAATAGAAAAACCTTGTTAACACTTTAGCGGTCACATTTTTGCATCAATCATCATCAAACTTGATCAAGATGCTTGTCTAGGTAATAACTCCGATGAGTTCGAACATGGGTCATCTCGGATGAAAAACTAGGTCACAGGAGCTAAAAATAGAAAAACCTTGTTAACACTCTAGTGGTCACAATTTTGACTCAATTGTCATCAAACTTGGTCAGGAAACTTGTCTAGGTCATTGCTGGGAATAAATCGAACATGGGACATCTCGGATGAAAAACTAGGTCACAGGAGCTAAAAATAGAAAAATCTTGTTAACACTCTAGTGGCTACTGTTGTGATCCAAATATTCTGTTAATTGGTCTGAAAGTTTGTTTTGATGATTTCTAAGTCAAGATCGAACATGGGTCATCTTGGATGAAAAAAACTAGGTCACACCGCCCAAATATGGAAAAACCTTGTTAACATTCTAGTGGTCACATTTTCGACTCCATTATCATCAAACTTGGTCAGAATGCTTGTCTAGGTAATTGCTTGGATGAGTTCGAAATCGCATGTGAAACTAGGTCACCGGAGCTAAAAATAGAAAAATCTTGTTAACACTCTAGTTGCTACTGTTTTGATCCAAGTATCCTGGAAATTGGTCTGAAAGTTTGTTTTGATGATTTCTAGGTCAAGTTTGAATATGTGTCACCTGGGTAAAAAACTAAGGTCGCACTGCTCAAATATGGATAATCCTTGTTAACACTGTAGTGTGGTCACATTTTTGACTCACCTGTCATGAGACTTGTCAGAATGCTTGTCTAGGTAATTGCTTGGATGAGTTCGAAATCGCATGTGAAACTAGGTACACCGAGCTAAAAATAGAAAAATCTTGTTAACACTCTAGTTGCTACTGTTTTGATCCAAGTATCCTGGAAATTGGTCTGAAAGTTTGTTTTGATGATTTCTAGGTCAAGTTTGAATATGTGTCACCTGGGTAAAAAAAACTAGGTCGCACTGCTCAAATATGGATAATCCTTGTTAACACTGTAGTGGTCACATTTTTGACTCACCTGTCATGAGACTTGGTCAGAATGCTTGTCTAGGTAATTGTTTGGATGAGTTTGATAATTCAGGTGAGCGATCTAGGGCCATCATGGCCCTCTTGTTTACATAGCAGCCAGTGAATACTATAGCAAACATTTGCTTTGCTTAGCAACATGTGAATCAACCATTGAATTTCACAGCAGTCAGTGACTTCCAAGGAAACCACAAATTTTGTATATCAACCAGTGTCTTCTTCAGTAACTATTGTTCTCCCATAGCAAAAGCAACCAGTAATGTTTTTACACTTGCACTATTTCAGATACAAATATGAACTTTGTGATAACAGTTAAAGATTTAGATTTAATATCTGCTTTCGCTTATAGTTTACAATATTACATTTTCCTTGTCTATATTCATGGCCTTCTTGTTAATTATGAACTATTTACTGTTTTAACCACTGAAGTCATGTACAAATTATGAAGAAAATATTGTAATAATGGCATTTTACATGTACATGTACATAATGTTTGTTGCTTCAGAATCACCCATACCAAAATACTCATTATGCTGTATGTCTTAGATTTTTTTGTGTCGCCTTGAAAAAGGCGACATATAGGGGTTACTTTTGTTGTTGTTATTTACAGGAAAGGAAATATTTTTTCTAGATTTTTATACCATTTGATGAAAGTCTTTTTCAATAACTTGTCTACAAAGTTACAGAACATTTGCTCACTGTTTTTTTTTCTCTCCAAAACAGTCATTGTTATAGTGCAAAATAACTTTAAAAGAAAAGTTTTTAAACACCTTTTACTCAAATCATGTTCAAAATCACCCTTTGTATTGATTTTCAATTTAGTTCTAAATACATATTTTGTTATTATCTTTTTGATATTCTTCTGTAACTGACCCAGTTACTCCATAATTATAAGATTTTCAAATTTTAGGTTTTTAGGTTTTTTAATGTCATTGGAGCTCCTTATAAATGACATACAATTATATTGCTAATTTGTTAGTCTTAGAATTTAGAAATTTGACATGTAGCATTGTCTATAATGTAGCAATACCAAGTTTGTCTGAGTCTGGGCATAAAATTTGCCTCATTTAATGGGACCACTTACTTAACATAATATATTTTATTGACATGAACATATTTTCTTCTGACATGCTATAATAACCCATTAGCTTATATAACCTAAGTAACTAACTGAGGGTTATATAATGCAAACAAACATTTATATATTGCCATATAATTCCTTGTAAGTCTTTATAGAAAATTTACTCAGAACAATTCTTTTATCTGAGGAAAATTGAAAATTTCTTCACAATTTGAATTTACAGCAGCTGTGTGTAATAGTATTATATAAAGAGCTTGATTATAAATCCAATGAAAATCAATACAACAAACATGTAGTGTTACAAAGGTGCATATATAAAAACAAATCTATATGTCAGAAAAGACAAGGCTATGTGTTAGTGCATTGCCTGGTACACTTGCACCAAATTTCTTAAAGCATTGCCTATGAGTGGAAATTTGACTTATCCAAGGGGTAACTGTCTAGCTTAAATTAAGATTATCCTGTGATAGTGCGTATTTACCCATATCTTCTAGCTAGATATATCTTCTATAGATATATGGAACATTGGCACTAAACATTAACCTTTGCCATTCACTGTGGACAAGGTCAAAAATAGCCTCCTTTCCCTGGAACAAAGCCTGTGTTAATAGACCTCAATATTTAATATTTGGTATAAAGGTAAAAATTCTCTGGCATATTTTGCTTTTCTAGTGTATAAAATTACATCAAACTGACTTCTTCTGGCTTAACATGTTTATGTTATGAAACAGTCCTTAAAATGAGGCCTTTTCTCTGAGAACATTGACATAACTGTTTACCCATTTGAGCAATAAAGTCTCCATCATGACCCTCTTGTATATCTTCATTAGTTAAGTATTACACAATGATTTCAATCTAATTCAAGTATGCATGTGACAGAATATTTATTACCTTACATTGAACCGTTACAACCAAAAGCCTTGATCAGTAATGGTTAAACAAACATTTCATCAATGGTAAGCCAAAAAAGATTATAAAAATATTGTAAACCAGATCAACAAGGAAATTAGGCAGCATTCAGTGTACGCATTATGCTCACACTATCTAGCAACACAGACCAGTTTCATATATTTATTAACATTCTAGATTTGAGTCTGTATCCTTTATTGTAGGTTTTTTACTTACATGAAAAGTGAAAGTTTAATAGATGTATACCAGTAGCTAATTAAACCAATCTTATTATACTGGTACGGTTTCTGATGAAATAAACATAAAACTGGACTGATTTGGTTTTACATTTTGTAATACTTGTTACCTTATAAATGTGTATTGATATGTATTCACTTATATATAATAATTTTCATTTACCCGTCTTGAAATCATACTAATAAGGTTCTTTATTATATACTTGTAAATAAACTATATAGATAAATTGATGGAAAAAATGTGTATTTTCATTTCCATATTTTCTCTGTAAAAAAATTATTTTTCACTACCATGAATCATAGCTTCTATATTCTGTATTTTCACTGGTGTCTTGCTGGACTACTTTCTTCTAAATTCAGCCACTACACAAAATTAAATTGGTAGTCTTTAGAATTGTTAGGTCAAAAAAGAGAAAAAAGTATATAATTAACCTTTCTTCTATAAATAAAGGATTTATTTTCATTGAGTGGTATGAAAATTATCATTTTTCAGTTGTGGGTATCACCACTCATGTAAAAAAACTTGAATGTCTTCTATATATAGTCTTGTTGATTGCATAAAATTGTAAGCCAATAGGTTGCTTGATCAACTTTAGTGATAGGGGCCTACAACCCATCAGAATAGCATAGTGACTTCTGTCTCTTTCAATATTCCCTATAATCACATCCTTTTACTTTTACAATGAATTATCCTTTGCAAACATTTCTTTGGTTTCATTTCACATTGTATACTTTTACAGGTGCATTTCCAAAGAGTTTTCTTGTTGACAAGTTGATGATTGAAATAGATGATATTGATGACAAATTTATAAATGCATTGTCCATATGTGTTATTGGACAAAATGACATTGACCTTGCTAACATCCTTGTCTCAACAAAACCATTAGCAGAAGAGAAATTCTCAGAACTGAAAGAGCCATCAAGAATATCATTGTACATATGTTACACAAAAACAGAGCGACTGAATCAGAGTGGATTAGAGGTATGTAATTCTAAACTTCTTTACTTAATTAATGGATAGAATTTTAGTTTAATATGAAGTGTAACTGACTGGGAGATCAGGTCTAATCAGCACCTTTGAAATTGTCTGGAACAACTGTTATCAATATTGCTATATTACTTTATATTATAATAAGGAAATTGGATATTTGCTAGTAAGTCCAATTCACAGAAGAGAACTCAGTCAGTACGTGGGGTGACTGTTTTTGAGTGGTATGCAAAGCTTACAAATTTCAGACCACCTACCCCAAATTACTGTCTGGGACTGTGGATTCTTTCATGTTAATTATTATAAAAGCTTTTCATCTAATCTACTAATGGTCATACTCATAGTTTATATCTAGTACCTGTTTGGACCTGCAATAATGTAAGAAGAGCAAATTAGGTCACTCCACAGCTGATTGTCTGTGAGACTTTAAATGCAACAAAGCAAAAAACAAACAAAAAACAACAACAACAATCTGTTCATTCATATATCCCTCTGGATGCCTGGAAATGTGGATCCCACAGCAGTTTGTATGCTAGATTGATGAATATGTTATCTGGGGATAATGCAAACCTTTTATATAAGATCATAGTATCAAAAGCATAGAAATGGAAATAGTCCAACTAAGGCCTTAAAAGCTCAATTATGAATAAAAAATACTAAAAGTAACAAGCAATGTTGATGATTTTTTTGTAGAGATTAAAGACATCATTATTTTGCTGTTGTTGTTTTTTTTGGATATAAAGATGACATAAAGGTGCATGCTTCCAATTTATCAATAGTGAAAAATATGACAAATATGACCATCCCAAGTGATTTTTAAATGTTTTCTGGAAAAATTAAGAAATGATGTAGTTTTGTTGTTATCATATTTCATATTTTAAGTTATAAATGATCTGTTTCTACATGTATTTTACATGTCACAGGCATAATCTGTGGTTTTATAAGTGTCATAGACTGTGTTAAATAACTTTATTTTTTTATTTGACAACATTTTAATATATTAAAATTATTTGTATTTTGCAATAAAACAAACATAAATCAAGAGAGGACTGGTGTCCTGCATAGAGTGTTTGACAGACAAATTCTGATGTAACAAAAATATAATCTGTTACAGATTGACAAAAAGGAATTAAATTATTTTAAAATCTAGGTTTATTAAACTCTGTAAACATGTTAATAATTAATATATATATAGGTGATTAAGTGTATTTGGATATGTCATGTTTTGTGGAGAACAGGTTACTAGTGCTGTATTATAACAAAAGTTCTGAAAAATTGCAAGTTTACTCTTTAAACTTTCAAAACTTAATAGTAGGGGTCCTGTGAATTGAGTAGAACAGTTAACAGGTACTTTTCAATTACTTGATTGAGTGAATTAAAGTTACTGACTGTAAATACTGGAACAAAAATGTACTTATATACAGTAAAATTTTCACAGTAAATACTTTGTATTTGCTTGAAATTCAAAGTTACAAATTAAGTTATAAATTAAACAAAAACAATGTATCAGGTACAACTTATATTTCCACAACTTTTTAAAGGACATATTTTTGAAATGACTGACTTAATTTCAAAATTCCAGGATGTATTCTATAACAATAACATTGCACATATCAATATGTGATGCAAAGTAATGGGGAAAAAAGACTAAATTAAATACTTTATTTATAAAAGAAAATGGTTCTTTCGTGCATGTGTGTGCTCTCTTATTTATAAACAAATATTAAGCGTTTTTAGATATAATATATTTTTTTTAATTTTGATAATTTCTTCTGACATAATTATTCATTATAATAAAAAGGGTATATAATATTAACTCATTCAAGTTCCCTTTTGATTTAACCTCCTCTGATCTATTGTATTTGCCATTTGGTCTAGTCTGAATATACATTAATTAATTGGAAGTCCTAAATATGAAGATGAATTAATTCTCATATTAAATATATTTCATTTATGTGCATGTAGTTAGTGGTTTTGCATATCTACCAGCTGTACACACATTTCTATCAGCTGTATATTCATTTACATTAAACTATATATATATTGTAGATTTCATTTCACCATATTATTCCTGGTATTTATGTCTATTTTCCCAAGAGATGGAAGTGAAACTTTTTAGATAACAAAAAACATTTTTTTCTGTTTTCTATTCTTAATCAGTCATTGATGTGTGGTTGACGTATATCAACGTCTGCTCTCTTTACTGTCTTCTCATACTATGTTGACGGTCACACTGAAAAACACTGACACATATCATATTAATGGACAATGTTTCAGTAGTGTTTTGCCAGCTGCATTTATGTCACTAAATGTTTTAAGATATCAGAACTATTTGGAAAGGGGGACCAATGAAATGAACGTTGAAAAAAACATTTCATGGGGAATAAGATCATAATAAATGGTTCAACATATGTCACACCTCCTAGAACCAGCTTAGGCAACATCCAATTTTCAACCCTTTGTAACTTTAGAAAATGGATAATACTATTCCCACCAAATGAACTAATGGATGGTCTTGTGCAAACAAGGGAGGTTGTTGAACAATTTCTTAAATCTTACAAATCTTATAGTTAATCATCACCAACTTTCTTATAGACCAGGGGCCAAACAAGTACTTTTTTGGTTCTTTTTCTTAACAGATACAGTTCAAATTAATTTACAGTATCTAAGACAAACATTTAAAGCAAATCTTTTATCAGTTTCTACTTTCAAATTATTTGGATTATCACCATTTTGAGTACATACAATTGTTATATAATCCTATCTCAAGTATGTACAGCTAATCTTTCTAACAAGTCTTTGAACCTGCAACATATATAAACTTTAGTAAATTAGGAAGCTTAGCTTATGGGGGTTGCGTTCATTGAACACTGCCTTTCCTTTTTGATCTTGTTTATCATATTTTAGCGGAAATAACATGAAGATGACAACATGCCTTTTATGATTACCTACATTATTCTACCTACCTAGTTATAAAAAGTCCATGACTGAGATGTAATCAGGAACTTAACTGTAAGTTAATTTAGTATCTTTTTTCCAGAGCATCCGCGAAGCAATAGAGACGTTCGATAATGACATCGTAAAAGGAAACAAACATGTGTTTGAGGACATGTTCGTTGTTATAGACGTGGAACACAATCACACCGTTAAAGAGCAAGATTCTTTCCGTGTCGAAGTTTATAAAATGATACACACCAAACTTCAAGGCACAGATATACAAATACCCGAAGGCAGAGTGATCTTTGGCTTGCATGATAGTACAGTTCTTGGCAGTAAAATATCAGAACACTTAGAAACCATGTTAATTGCCGGTTTTCACAAAGTTATGGTGTATCTTGAACGTTTTGTAAAGAAGACAAAACAGTTTCAGCATAAAGATGAGGAAGTTCTTCGTACTGATCTTGTTGTGAAATCTATTCAGGCTTTATTACGAGATGACATAGGCCTGGCTGATATGAGGAAAATAGCTGAAAGAGACGAATCGAAGGAAACCGAAGGATTAAGCATGGATGATAAATTTCTTCATCAGTTACTCAAGAAAATAGCCAGACTAGTTAAGTGCGCGATTGTCGAGCCACTTTCAGTGAGGTACAATATACCATCATGGATTGTTAATCTACTTCTTGAGGAAATAGAGTTTGAACATAAGGCAATCGAATCTGTTTCAAGAAATACGAAGCATCATTTGAGAAAATTGAATGAATTCAGTAAAGATTACGAAGAAATATTGGAGACGCATAAAAGGAAAGCAAACATGGGAAAGGGAAAGTTTGGTGCAAGCCGCCACGAGTATTTTATACGATACGTTTCATTCAAATTTGACTTCATTGTCTACCCTTTACAGAATGACATGTCTAAACTCATAAATGATGTTGAAAAGACCATGGATTCTGCTCAACAAATTATCATTGTTATGGGCAAGATGATGTTCGAAATCGAGGGTTATTTAGAACAAACAATAACTGAAAAATATGAACCAACACCATTGATACCGGATATTCCAATGGAACTTAAACAGGCCATTTTAAAGTAAGTAGCTACATGTATTACACTTGTATTTAATGTATTTTTGAGATGAACTTTTATTCTTTCAATTTGTAATAAGTTAAAATACTATAAAGATCTTCCATCGGCTACCGGTACAGACAGAAATATCTACATGTAGCCGAGGGTAACTGTTGACTCTAGTAACGAAGCTTTGTCGAATTTCCTCTAGATAGGCATTCCCGTCTGTGACGATAGTCGGTGTTTGATTCTTCTTCTTGCATTTTACATTGAAACAATATTTTGGAGGAAAGTAACTAAAACTTTTTCTTTTTCCTTTAGCTAATATTTCTTATAGTAGCGCATGAATTTACAAATGAGTGTGTTCTGATAAATGATTTCAATTATAAAATGGGCGCAGGAATAAGTCATTTCATGCACACTTCTTGTCTTACACGGCGGTATGAGACAGATTGTTTCCTAAAATCGGTGTAAAATGTAAATAATCCTAATTCTAATATGCAATAAAAAGTACTCTCCAATGTTACTGCTTCTGCACCTACTCATAAACATGGCCGATTCACTTAAATGTTACTCTTGTTGATTTAAACTTTGATAGTCATATTTACTTTACTTTGAATACTAGTATGTAGCCTAGTAGTTAATTTCAGGAAGATAAATAAATGATATTAAAAATATTTTGCAGTTTGTTGAAAACAAATACTGTATATCTCAAGGGCATCAACATATTTTGAGTATCTTTTTAACCTTTAATTTCACTAAAACAAATTCTTGATATATTTGAAAATTATTTGAACCAGAATATGTTTTAATATGTTGGCCTCTTTTTTTCAAGGTTGAGAGATGTGTATGGGATAGGTAGAGTGTACGATTACATTGAAATACATGTAAATAGAGACACAGGGACATTTACAGAAGACATTCCAATGTTAATGCAAAAATACGGATTCTCACAACCATACCAAATCAAGACGGTCGAAAATAAACCTGTGAAACTGATGGCAAATATTCAACATGAAAACGGAAAACTGATCAAGAGTCCATTCCCAGAGGACAGATTTAGCTATAGAGAAGGGACACTTGGTTGCTTTGCAGAAAACGACTCTAAAAAGTTGTACGTTCTCACATGTGCTCATGTTGTACAGAATCCAAACAAAGAGGAACATGATGTTTTTATTCCCGATAGAGGCATGAAACTGAAAATAATTGGAAAAAGTACAAAACGTTTGACTGTCTGCTCGGGAGATGAAGAAATGTCTGTCATCGACATAGCTGCCGTTACCGTGAACGAAGACTTTGTAAAACATTGCATCAGAAAAATGAAAGACGATAACGGGTTTAATAGGTCTGCTCAAATTGCACAAGACTCTGTGGCACAGTTAAGAAAGAAATTTGTGTACAAGTTTGGTGCAAAGTCTGGACTGTCACATGGTATATTTTGCTCAAGTGACTTCACTTTGTCTAGCACGGACGTAGAAGATTATCTCCTGCTAATAGAACCGTTACCTGGTGATGTAAATGGTATATTTGCTGAGCCAGGTGATAGTGGAGCTATCATATGTATGCCTTCCATTGATGGTGACTCTATCAAAGTGGTTTCTATGCTTAATGCTGGGGACTATAAACTTAAGGGTGGACCTGCCGAGGAAAAGAAATGCTTGTCTTTTTTATTAAGAAATGGACTCGAAAAGCTAAAGGACAAGTCGAGTATCCCTTTGGTCATTCCTTAATTTTCACAGTATGTTTTACATTTTTGCCTTGTTTTCCATCTACTAGTAACTGGCAACTTAATGTTAGTCCAAATTTATACGTATCAAACGTTGCAAATTTAATATTTTCTGATTTTCAGTTTATTTTTATTTTCAGTTATTTACACTTACGCTCAAAAGAATCTGTTTATATAAATAAATATAAACTTAAACTATTTAAACTATTTCTTTGTTTTAATAAGTTTTGAAAGAATTTGGTTTCGTTTTGACTTGGTGACTTTTTAAGCAGAAGCTAAACAGCTTGATTACAAAGGGCCGTTGGTTCTGTTTGGGTGCAGGGCCGTGCCTGAAATAATTAACGAAGTGATTGTAGCTGATGTCTCCCCGAAACAGTAAGGCTAGTTTTCTGTCAATGTCAGCATGATTTAGAATCAAGCAAGCACAGAAACGTTATAACAACATTTCAGTCTGTGTTATGTAAGATGTAAATTAAGATAATATTAGTACAATATTTTGTTACATATTCTAATCTCAAACATATTCAATGATTAGCAAAATACACAGTAAACAGGCTTAAAATAATCAACACATTAAAAAAGATAAGACTACTAAAGTTGATAGGACTATCTTTATTCTTTGAAACGTTTGTAAACCTGCATTTTTATATTCTTTGAAAAATATCTTCATTAATGAAACTTACTTAGGACAAATTTAGTTTTGATTCATTAAATATTACATAAATAAAAAATTTCAGATTCTTAAAATCTTTGTGCTCAACTTTTATGTCTAGTAGGAAAAATCAATTAAATTTCAAACCAAGTTGAATACTTTTTTTGGATACGATATGTTAAAGGCTTGATTTTTTCAGTGGCTTGATTTTTGTCTGGCACAAATTTGTTACCCTATATAACACGTGTTAGGCTTTGTAACTGATTTTATATTGATTGATAAGAAGCACAAACAAACAATTCCTTTCTAAAATTACCACAATTTTAATCGTGCACAAGTATTGCAGATGCTTTGATTGATATGGATGAAAAATGTATTTACCCGACCAAAACTTCTGTAAATGTTCACATATATTGAATATTTCACATTATGAAACCGGAACATGTTGGCTATAGAGTAACTATTGAAGGCTTCACCTAGCTTCTGTCATTAGGGCTACTTTACCTGCTAAACATTTACGCGGGAACAGGATATTCTCGTCTGTGAGGAATTACATTTAATTTTGTCCTTTTACTAATAATAGCTTTGAATGTACAACTTCGTTTATATCGGCAAATGTCATAGCATTCATATAGGCAGTGAAACGACATCTTTTTTTAAATCACGTGACTCATCTGATGAAAGACATTTTTCAGCACCGCGAAAACGTGAGCAAACCCAGTATTTAGAAATGTTACCTGGAAGAGCAAGCACATTCTTTTTTCATTTTCTAGTACTCTGTAATATATATATACGATATATATGTTTCCTACATATCCTGATGGAAATAACCTCAATTTTATTTCATTGTCAAAATAATGTTACAATAGAACGTTTTACAGTAGTCGTATTATTTCAACAGTTATGCAGAGAGATATTTAAAACAGTCATTAATTTGATAATTAGTATAACAATAAGTATAAAATATGTTTTAAACGGTTTGATTGGTTTAAGAAGTCTTTCGTTAGAATATAGCGATTCTATTTTACTTTAATATTCAGATGTGCATATGAAAATGCTTTAAATGTAGACCTATTATCATTAAAGATTTAATATTTCTGCTACTTGTTGAAAACACGTGTTTGTTTCAAAAATCATTTCATCTTCCCTTTGTTATATTATTACTCGAATTCTGAAGAATACACTGTATTTAACATTGATCTTCAAACAAAACTGTATTGTAAGTTTATTTGATAATTTGCTTAACCTCAAACACTTTGAACCAGTAAAAAGAATCAGGGCAGCATTTCACGTCAGTGCAGTCTGACCAGGCTCTATGCTGTTTACCGGCTTACTAAAATTTTCATTTAAATGACATTGGGCTGTCCCTAAATGAAAGCAGGATAAGTCCTTTTAAGAAATTAAACAGGTAAAGGGCATTTTCCTTCCCATTAGCACGGATCTGTTGTTAGTCATTTATATATTAATTTTTAAGTGATTGAAAAGCGTTCTTTCTTACATTACTTTTATTATACATGGAGCAGGCAACATTATTTAGAAGTACTGGACTGAATCAAGGGTCACAAGTACAATCCGTTATTAATCCGATAAGAATTATTTACAAGTCTTTCGGATGAGACTTTAAAAACCAAGGTTCCTTGTAATTGCACTGTACACTTTCACTTTAGAGAACAAGTTTTTCTTGAATTTGATGAACTCCTGTATCCGTTGTATTACTTACTTTCATAAAGTAAATTCACTTGCGGTCTTATGTTGTAGTCGCCCATGTGGGTTTCCGGTGGCGACCATAAATTTAGGTTAATCATACCTACGATTATCTTCTCACGGGCTCCAAGGCGTGCATGCCGCTGAGAAGGCACATGGCATTATCGGAAGTAATTCAATGACTTCGGTAAAATAACATTAACAAAACAGCTAAAGAGAAATTAAAATGCCGGTTTATGAAACAAAATTGCTATAGCAGCTATAGAAATACCAACATTTATATAGAAAACAAAAGACATATTTAGATCGAAATTTGACGTTGTGAATAGATCAAGATGACATATACATATAAAGCACATATCGGAGCACTATTTCTGTATCCTGCTTTATTATCTTTGAGGTACAGCCGTCAATGTCGTGACTAACGTTGGAGAAGCAAGTGCAACATTTCATCATTATCTTCTGATGCATTATTTCTTTAAAACTATCATCGGCTTTCCAACTCTTGATAAACATCTTACAGTTTCTTGGAATTGAAAACACTTTATAGATAAAATATAATCTACTGTGAAATGCAAAATGTGTATTCTTCAACGCGGTCTTTTCTCGTCCAAATTTGATACCACATTTACCCAGTCTAGCTTTTTGAAGTATTCTTATCATTATATAGTTTCTTAAATTCGTAGATTCCATTGCATTTTTATCGGATCAGTGCAACTTTCAAATTTAATTCAGTGTTGGATTCTCTGCATGATTTGTTATTATTTTAAGCATAGCTGAATTTTTTTACCCGGATCAGTTTTAGGAATATGTTGAAAAATGTCATACTCGGAGATGAATAAATCCTTGAATTAAATGTAATGTTGATAATGTTTATATTGTTTTATGTAATCAGAAGCCCCTGGACGTGAATATAAATATCTGAAAATGATAAATAAACTTTAGAAACGTCTGATACGGCTAAATATGCTACTATTCACCATAAACAAGTTGCGTTCAAAACATGTAAAGTTTGTTGTTATGTATATTGTATAGTAGATGTTTTTGTTTTGTTTTGTTTTTGGTACAAAAACGACGTACATTGTATATATTTGTACATTGTATATATTTAGTGTTTTTTTTAACATTTAGTTTTCTTTTACTTACAAATATTCTGTATATGCTATTATCTAAATTGTTATATGTAATTTCAAGTGGGTGCCAACTGACATAGATCGCTCCGCCCACAGATTCACGTGACACTGTCATTCAGAATTTTGGGCTATTTTGGTATAAAATATTCTTTAATGGCAGTAACGTTTTTTGATAATTGAATACGTAATGGAATTTGAAACAATTAAAGGCCCATTAAGCCTCAAAAATGGTATTTTTTTCGTTTTCCAAAAGCTTCCCCCTTACAGTTTTAAAATGTAACCTCTTTGGTCATATAGCAGTGCCATCTTTTCCTTACTTAGCTTTTTGGCAAATTATTTATGTTACATCATGCAAAGTTGACAACTATGTTATATAAAATATATTTTGTTATGCACCAATAAGTAACCAAAGTGCAATTTTCTTTAAAAAATGGGACATAACTTGAAGAACAATTACAAGCAACTATAGAATAAAATCTCTCGCGGCAGATACACAAGAAGTAGGGTGGTGACCAACAATACTTGAATTTCTCTGCAGGGTTTGCGAACAAACCACAGCTTTAATGGATATAAATTTGGTAATATAATGTTTGCTGGAAAATGGGCCACATTAAATTACAAAAATAGAAGTGACGGCGACAAAAACAAGATTCATTTCAAAATTATGGGCGCCACCATTACCTATCGTCGGATACCCACGGCCAGACCATTAACATTTATGATTGTATGTTATGTTCGGGTTAATCAACCGTGGATATCTGACGTTGTCATTACCGTTACTAACCATTACCAAAACTATTGACCACGTGATAAAACTGTTAAGGACAATATTTCAATTTATAAAAAAAAGATCAAATTCAATTTGACCTTGACTTATAAATGACCTTGGCCATGAAGGTCAGATTATTGTAATTTAACAGTTGTTGCTATAATTGGTACACTGGGGGACAAGACATTAGAAAAGATTTACTTGACCTTGATCGTAATTTGACATTGACACTTAAGGTTAAATTAGTGGATATTGCTACAGTTGGCCATATCTTTGTTATTTATTTTGGGATTTGATTTATATATAAGCAAAAGAACACTTAATTATAACAAAATTGACGCATTTAGTTATTCAAATATGACATTGACATTTAAGTTTTAAAATAAGCTTACATTGTCATAACTGTCACTACCTGGACAAAAGAAACCTTATGACAAAAACGACATGTTGAATAATTGAAAGGTGACATTGACATTTATTTGATCTTGGCCGTCAAGATATTGAAATTTGCTTAAAATGTTATAACTTTGTAATAAATTACTTATTTGAATTATACTTGGACAAAGGAACACATATTACAAAACCGATATGTTGAATTATTCTGATATGACCTTGACCTGAAATTGATCGTGACCGACAAGGTCAAATATTGAAATTTGCTTAAATTGTCATAACTTTGTAATTTCTTTACAAATTAGATTTATATTTAGAGAGAAGAACATATAAGACAAACCCGACATTTTGGCTTATTCTGACTGCATTCAATGTCAAATTATTTAAGTTTGTATAGATTCTCATTACTTTATTATTTATTTATAGATTTGATTGATACATGGACAAAAGTAAAAATAAGACCAAACCGACATTTTGAAATATTTTTATATGACCTTGACCTTTAAATGATCTTTACCATCAATGTCAAATTGTTGAAATTATCTCAAATTTTTATAACTTGGCTATGAATTTGAGTCATTCTTGGACAAAAGAACACATATGACAAAGCTGACATGATGATTAATTCAAATGTGACTTTGACCTTTGATGGAACTTGACTATATAGGTCTAATATGAAATTTGAATCATAATTTGTTAAAGAGTATCATGTTTTCTCAGAGATAATTTACTACAATATTCTTCACTTTAGATGTAAGAAAACGTCGAGCGCGGCCCCCGCTTGTTGATGCAAAATGTAGTTAAATGACTATATAAAGGCACCGTGATAAAGGCCTATTTATATACAGAATTACTTTTTCAATCAAAATTGTTAAAGGTTATTAATATGCAATTGCTGTGTTTTATTTTTGCAGCTTTTTTTTTTGACATTATTGGTTGTGACTCATTTTTGTTTGTATTCTTTAAAAAGAGATATATTGGTTTCTTTGGTGTTGTTAATTTGCCATTATTGATATTAAATGAATATTTCTTGTAAAAAAAGACTTTAATATAAGATGTTATATAGAAATTTTCTTTGAAAAAGATGATCCTTCAGGTTTCAGTTTTGGTTTTATATCAAAACCATAATTGTGGAAAATTCGTTGTATCGTGTACCGGAAATTATTGAAAGAAATTGAAATAGATAATAATTCATCTGAAAATACCGGATTAATAATAAAGTATCTGAGAAACGCTTACAAGACGCTCTTGGTTTTGCCATATACATGTACTGTGAGGCAAAAGAAAGTGGACACTCGAGTCCACGGAAATTCTGTATACTTATAAACATAAAAAATATTGGCATATTTGGAAAATCGTTTTGACAATGCGATGGTCATTGAAATTTATTATTATGAAAGTTTGATTTATGTAAAAGCGGAGGAGTAAAAAGTAAAGGCATAGGACCGATGTGAAGTTATTGTTACTGTGGTTATTTTCATATTCAGTTTTTTTTTGCTGTATTATATTTTTTAAAAAGATTTTTTTTATGTTTTATTGAATGCTTATTGTTTTCGAATAATTTTAAAGTTTTGATTTCACTGTTTTGATTTCTCACATAATTCGTTACACAAATATACGCATGCAGGTTCTTTGTCATATCGCCAATATTACTTGTATATAGTACATCTTTGTGTGAAATTTGATGCATATGTAAATAATCAAGATCAACAACATTTATTAGAACTTCTTGTTTCCAATATTGTTCTAATGTTTATTTAATTTATCCAAGGATGACCAAGATTCAATACTCTTAAGTAATTTTTACAGTGTTATTACAGTACAAGATCGATGCACTATGTATCTATTAATTGAGACGTAATTTACTTTGATGATTTGAAACATTTATAGATCTATATGGTGTTGAATCGAGGATAGGATCGAATCTAGAACACCCGACGATACTTTTTTGTACGAGTATAATTTGGTCACAATATTTACATGTATATATATGGTATATATATGAGCCGTGTCATGACAAAACCAACATAATGGGTTTGCGACCAGCATGGATCCAGACCAGCCTGCGCATCCGCGCAGTCTGATCAGGATCCATGCTGTTCGCTATCAGTTTTTCTACTTGTAATAGAGTTTGTAAGCGAACAGCATGGATCCTGATCAGACTGCGCGGATGCGCAGGCTGGTCTGGATCCATGCTGGTCGCAAACCCATTATGTTGGTTTTGTCGTGACACGGCTCATATATATTTTTTGAAATATTAAATAGATTAAATATTTATGTTAATTGTGTTTATTTGTTTCGAAATGTTTGTTAAGATGAACTGCAAATTTTATGACAATGACAGCTTTTTAGCTCACCTGTCACAAAGTGACAGGGTGAGCTTTTGTGATCGTTTTTCGTCCGGCGTCCGTCCGTCCGTCGTCCGTAAACTTTTACTATAAATGACATCTCCTCATAAACCACTAAGCCAATTTCATCCAAACTTCACAGGAATGTTCCTTTGGTGGTCACCTTTGAAAATTGTTCAAAAAATTTAATTCCATGCAGAACTCTGGTTGCCATGGCAACCAAAAGAAAAAACTTTAAATGTCTTTTTCTAAAAAAAAACCAAAGAGCTAGAGCTTAGATATTTGGCATGAAGCATCTTCTAGTGAGTGTCTACCAAGTTTGTTCAAATAAAAGCCCTGGGGTCAAACTTGGCCCCGCCCCAGGGGGTCATTGATTTTCCCTATATGCATATAGTAAAAACTTAAAAATTCTTCTTTTAAAGAACCTATAGAGCTAGAGCTAAGATATTTAGCATGAAACATCTTCTAATGGGTGTCTACCAAGTTTGTTCAAATAAATGCCCTGGGGTCAAAACTGGCCCCACCCCAGGGGGTCATTGATTTTCCCTATATGCATATAGTAAAAACTTAAAAAATCTTTTTTTAAAGAACCCAAAGAGCTAGAGCTAAGATATTTAGAATGAAACATCTTCTAATGGATGTCTACCAAGTTTGTTCAAATAAGAGCTCTTGGGTCAAAATTGGCCCCGCCCGGGGGTTATTGATTTTCCTTTTATGTGTATATAGCAAAAACTTAAAAAATCTTTTTTGAAAAAACCCAAATAGCTAGAGTTTAGATTCTAAGCATAAAACATCTTCTAGTGAGTGTCTACAAAGTTTGTTCAAATAAAAGCCCTGGGGTCAAAATTGGCCCCGCCCCGGGGGACATTGATTTTCCTTATATGTGTATAGCAAAAACTTAAAAATCTTCTCTGAAAAACCCAAATAGCTAGAGTTTAGATATGAAGCATGAAACATTTTCAAGTAAGTGTCTACAAAGATTGTTCAAATAAAAGCCCTGGGGTCAAAACTGGCCCTGTCCCAGGTGAGTCATTGTTTTAACTATATGTGTAAAGAAAAAACTTGAAAAAATCTTCAAAAAAAAACCAACGAGCTAGACCTTAGATGTTTAGCATGAAACATCATCTAATGGGTGTCTACCACGTTTGTTCAAATAAAAGCCCGGGGGTTTAAACCTGCCCCGCCTTGGGGGCCTTTGTACAGGTGAGCGACTTCAGGGCCATCATGGCCCTCTTGTTATTTAAGGCAGACAGCGAGCTGCCAGTTTGCGGTGGAGATTTCATATGTACATATATGTTAATATCATTTGTTATTCAACGGGCAACAACAAATCTATGACATGTATTATACTAAACCTAGTCGCTGTTATGCTTAGAATAACTTCATTAAAAAGGTTGTTCAATTGTTTATCGTAACCATTGGCGGAAACAAACATATCTTACGTATATTTCACAGAAACTCGAATTTTAAAAAAAGAATGATGTCATGAATAATTTAGTAAGTTGGTTTACGTAACAACGTTTGTCTACGTAACTAGGTTTGCCTACGTAAATACGTTTGTCTACTTAAAAACATTTTCTTGTGAACTTGAAATAAAAAAGCTGCAAGATTCCAGAGGAGAAAAGAAACTAAATACTATGTAATATAATATGTTTTGCATATTTTTATATGATAAATACGTAAACAGACTATTTATTTGCTACCCCGTTATTCTTTAAAAGAGCAAGGATTACAGCTAAAACATATTTTGAGATATTTTATTTTGGTTGGGAGAATTTTTTTTGTTTTCACCAACCACAACTCTCGTGGTTAGTACATTTTAAAAAATATTCAGTTTCAAGAAATCTTTTAAAATATGGTAAACAAGATCAACAAGAAAAGACGGCGTTTAAGATTTTTATAAAACGTTTGCATGATTCCTGATACGTGCTGCTTTAAAGTTGACACAACCAGCATGATGGGATTGATCATAACAAGGGAAGTGATATTAAAAGATAATACTGCGAGCTTAGATGTTTTACGACAAGAATACAACTTATACACTGCACGACACAAGGTAATCAGAGTTGCTATGGTAACAACATGTCAATGTATTAGAAATGTTTGTTACTAGGAGACATCAATAAGGATGATGCATTTTTATTGGAAGTCTTGTTCTAAATTACCTAACAATAAGCTTGATTATAAGTACATTATTATACTTCTATCTGATCCGATTAGTCAGCTCTTAATTAATGGGATCTAACTAGAAATTATCTGAAATATTACACATATATAAATATGAATCTAGGTATCAATAAGTCAATTCAAAAATAAACAAGTTTTTGAGTCTTAATTTTAGATAGTACAAATTATATCATGTCTTAGCACAAACACATAAATAATGAATAGATTTTCGTCTTTTATAATGATAATTATCTTTTGATAATGAATTGGTTTATTATAAAAATTTAATACTGTACTTTAACAAAAGATTAAAACACAAATCAAAATTGCATATGCTTCAAACATAACCTTTGTTAATGTCTGTTCAAAGTAATTGGAATTTTATTCATAATCAAATTTAATATTTACTTCAGGATAAGTTCATTATACAATAGTACGTAATTACGTAGGCTTCAAAACTTGTCGAAGATTATTGTTTACTTCATGAAATAACAAAATCACAAAAGAATGTATTATGCCATTAAAAATTATTCTAGATCGTAGTTTATCTCATGTAAACATCAAAGTACACTTGTTGTCCATTTGCCTCACTTGTCAGAATCTTGTTTCATATTCGGAACATTTGTACAAAATTCTAGGATTAACCCGTCTTTGCTTTCGATGTAGACAAGACTTTGGTATTCTAATCTGATTTGGCAAAAAACGTCTGCACGCAACTCTGAACTTTTTGTTCCTTGCACAGAATATTACCGGATAAAGTGCACTTTTAAGAAAACCTAAAGTAAGCAGTACGATGTCTGTGAGTCTGTGTGTATAGAAGCCCGAGATTGCTCGACTTGTTGTGTAAGGTAACCAGCAACAGAACAACGTTACGAACAATATCAGAATGGTTCCGAATGCTTTTCGTTTAGCGTTAAAATCTCCGGTAAATCTATACGGTACTGCTACCGTAGGCAAACCAAGCTTACTGCTGTACTGCGTCACAGAAATGCTCACAGAGCTTCCGGAATGATTGTGTATTCGTTTAGAAGTCAATTGAACTGTTCTCAAGATTGAGGCATACAGATAAAACATCACAACCACTGGGATATAGAATATTATCAACAACAATATGTTTGTATAAAATATTCTATAGTTTGACACTTTAAGAGAACGATTGCTGTTACAAAATATGTTGTCAAAAGTCTCGTAGTCTTCTCCTATGAAACTTAAAAACTGTAGACTGTTCATGCATACCGACCCTATCCAAATGCTGAATATAACCATTCTAGCAACTTTAGAGCACAGTCTGTCACGTCTGTGCACTATGATAAGATATCTGTCCACGCTAATAACAAGCAGTGTGTAGCTGGCAACGCAGATACAAGTGTCTTTGAGCATTGACAATGTAACACATGCTCCTAAGATAGAAACTTCTGTTTTGAGCAGGCTGTACACTAGAAAAGGAGTCACCGTTGTTGTCAAGATAACGTCCGACATTGCTATATTAGTCAATAGAAGATTGATGGCCGATCTCATTGGTTTCTTCCGATACACAATAAGACATGTTAACGTGTTACCAAGGAGACTAAGGAACATAAAAAGCAACGCGAAAGCACTTACAACAGCACTTTCTGTTAGAGATAAACTTTCACTGACATTCTGTAAGTTAAATCCATTAGCTGATAAAGTTGAATTTTCAAAATAATTTTCCACTTCCATTTAGATATATATAAAGTATATAGGTAAAAACTTTTTTCTTTAAATGTTCGCAGGTTAACACTGTCACAGTATATTAATATGTCGTATGTTGATATATAAACTATACACTTATCATCGCTATTTCTGCTCTGTAATGAAAATTTATTATTCTAACTCTTTTGTTTACGTCCATCCTGTATTTATGGATTTAGTTATATACAAACAACATGTTTATCTGATTATATCCTAGTTCGTTTTATCCCCTAATTAGTGAGCTAATTCTGCTTTGACTACTTATATCAGTACCCAAAGAATAGATCATACGTTCGTTGATCAAGTTAATGATTTTGTGTTTATAGTAGATGTACACATAGTGAACATAGTGTTTTATATATAAAGTTTGTTCTTTTCTTTGCTTTATATTACAGATACACTAAAATGTTAATAAGAACCCTATGAGAGACTTATGTAGCACTCCAAGCAGACGATGCGGGGGCTTTCAAAACGTTTGTCCAATTATAAATGGTGACTACTGTATAACGCTTTGTAATAATTCGCATTTCGTACAAAAATCACATTTTACGTACATCTTATGTCAACAACATCGCCATCACAAAATAAAGGAATACATAATTTTCATAAAGAGAAAACGGAAATTTAAAGCGTTTCAAATCGAAAATTTCATTGTTAACATTATATAACACTTTTACATCCGATTATAACTGTTTAACGAAATCCAAGGTTATATATTTATTGCAGCTTGACATTCATCAATATCACTTTCCATGCATGTCACATAGGATTTGTTAACATTTACTATCACGTGATTCCAATCAATTATAAGATAACGTGCTCTTTTAAATCCCTTATCCGAATGCAGCACTGTAAATATTTCACTCATCACGTTAGTCCCGGGTTTAGAAAGAAATGAGCCGCGTCACGACAAAACCAACATAATGGGTTTGCGACCAGCATGGATCAAGACCAGCCTGCGCATCCGCGCAGTCTGATCAGGATCCATGCTGTTCGCTATCAGTTTCTCTACTTGTAAAAAAGACTTTGTAAGCGAACAGCATGGATCCTGATCAGACTGCGCGGATGCGCAGGCTGGTCTGGATCCATGCTGGTCGCAAACCAAATATGTTGGTTTTGTCATGACGCGGCTCAATTATATCACTCATCACGTTAGTCCCAGGTTTAGAAAGAAATACTTGTGTAAGAAATACTTGAGGTCACGATCAGTGTAATTCTAGTTTTATCTTATCAACACATGTGCCATTAATACTATTGACTGTCTATAGAGTTTATGAATCAGTAAATGGTTTATTTAAGTGTTAGAGCAATATTCTGTTTATGATTATTGTTGTTATTAAAGTTATCTTTAATAAATCGAGAAAAAAAATCTCAAGTTTTTGATTGTATTTGTACATGGCATAGACTCTTAATTATATATCAGTCAGTCATGAGCCGTCTACAAAGTATTAACTACGAACAGGATGTCCACGTTTGTCCGTGCGTCTGTTCTCCCTGTAAGTCTTAGCAATATTACACGTATAAGCATGCCTTATGATTACGTTAAGGGCAACAATAATAAAGCAAGAGTTACATAGGTTTTGGACACAGAAAAGTAGTTTCAGAGTTATGTCCTGGACAAAGTTCATATTATAAAAAAAAATAACTCTAATATTAGGCAAGGCAGAGTTACGGTTTTTATGCATTGCACTTCTACTTAATGCAATCTATTCACCTACAAAGTTTCATGTTGATACCTCTTGTAGTTTCAGAGTACGTGATGTCCTGGACAAAGTTCAAAGTGTAAAAAGAAACAAATTTAAGGCAATAACCCAAAATTAGGCAAGACATATATATACTATAGTAGCTACATTTCTTTTGCACTGCACCTCTATTCAATTAGATCTATCTACCTACAAATTAAGTTTCTTGTTGATACCTCTTATGGTTTCAGAGTTATGTCCCAGACAAAGTTCAAAGTGTAAAAATGAACAAAATTTAGGCAATAATTCCAAAATTATGCAAGGAAGAGTTACGGTTCTTTTGCACTTCAAATATATCTACTTATATTTTTCAGAGTTATGTCTCGGACAAAGTTCAAAGCGTAAAAATAAACACAGGGCAATAACTCTAAAATTAGGCGAGGGAGACTTACGGCTCATTTTCACTGCACTTCTGCTCAACGAGATATATCCCAGTTTATACCACTTGTGGTTTCGAAGTTATGTCCCGGACAACGTTCGAAGTGTAAAAATTAACAAAGAGCAAGGCAGAGCTAGGGTCCTTTTGCATTGCACTTTTACTGAATGAGATCTATTTACCTACAAAGTTTTTATTGATACCTCTTCTAGTTTCAGAGTTATGTCCTGGACAATGAACAAAGCGGTGACAATATGCTATTCCTTCGGGAAGCATAACTATACATTGTGGGTATTTCGGGGCACAGACACTTGGGGTGTGGAGGTCAAAACGCCTTTAAAATCCAAATCAAATATATATTTGTCAATCCCAGCACATTTACTGATCATATGTATGTATATCCAAAAACCTAATATAAGCCGTTTTAAAAATAATCATATTTTATCATTTATAATAATTATAAACGTTGATCAATGGATTATCTTTATACCTTGACAAAAACAACCTTTTGGACAATACCTTCTAAAAGGTTGAACTGAGCTTGACCTTGAGCTTTAAATGAACTTGACAGTCAAGATTAGAGTATTGAATTTCGGTTAAAAATTCATAAAAATTGTTGTTATTCATGTACGGATTCTATTTATACTTTGAAAAAAATTGACGTGTGGCCAAACAAATAATTTGTGACCTTGATCTTTAATTCAGCTCGACCATCAAGGTTAAATTAATGAAATTCTCTTATTCGTTCTATAGATTTGGCATTAGGACCATGTGCACAGTTTAAGATGTAAAAATGAACTTTGATATCAGCTGACCTAGATAATTTGACGAAGTGATCTACTTTTTTCCCTTTGATATACAGCTATGAAATGTACATCATTTGCACAGTTTAAGTGATATCTGCTGACCTAGATATTTTGACGAAGTGGCCTTCTTTATTGCCCTTTTTGATGTACATGCAGCTATGAAATTTGGACCATGTGTACAGTTAAATATGTAAAATTGAACTTTGATATCAGCTGAGGTAGACTTTGATGCATTGGCCTACTTTCTTGTCTTTTGATGTACAGCTATGAAATTTGGATGGTTTTAGATGAAAAATTGATCATTGAACATAATGTGGTAATGATTCATATTTGGACAAAACAACAACTGTGACTAGACCTACCTACTAAAATTTAAAAAAAAAAAACTTTCTTTTCTTTCATTTTCTTTTTAAAGATTTGTTACATCCTTTTTATTTGTTTGCTTTTAGTAAAAAAACGTCGAGCGTTGCCCCCGCCCGTCGTGGCTCTTGTTAAACTTTAAGACATTTTAACAGAATTGTTTTTTTACGGATTTCTTACAAATAATCTGGTTCTTTTTGTGCAATTTCGTTATTCTATCTATATGTAGGTCTGACTAGTTACTTTGAGACCAAGTAATACAGACGGGGCTTTGTAAGCGTTATCAAATATTTGTTTCATTTCAGGTGTAGGAAAGATCTGATGAATTCTTTCAACAGGTATATTTTAGTGTTTCTCAAGATAACCAGTTATCAATATGCAATCAAAGTAGCTTTTGACAATAAGCATTATTTCAACTCGAATCTGATATGAAGAGTAAGATTACCTATGTTATTCATTTTACATTTTGATCTAATCATCATGCATGTTGTTTTTTCTCGTTTAATGACCATGTTATTAAGAGACCAACATTCCTGCATTTTAATGAGTCTAGCTGCAGCTCAAAATATATGGTCAGCTTTGTGTAATGTTGAATCATCTGTTTAAAAGGCATGCACCTTTAAAGGGACTCCATTGCGGTGTATTTGTTGCTGTTTTTTTTTTTTACATGAATAGACTGGATTTTTTCTCTCTAGATTTGTGTACTGTTTGATGTAGGTCTATGCTAATAACTGGAATGTAAATTCTCAGATCATATTGCGTTGTCCCAGAATAATTATTTTTTAATTGTACTGAATGACCAAAAAATGAAAGGCGTTGCAGCTCAAATCAGGCTAAGAATCCTACTAACGATCGATTTTAAATTTACTCCGCGATAATTATTTCTTCGGAAAATCATCTATGCATGATCATTCTTTCAAATAAAAATACTATACATGTTCTATGTAGAATTTCAAATGTTGTGTTTTTAGGTATTTTGGCCTCAGTGGTCCTCATTTAAATCACGGATTTATTACATTTTATATTTATATTTGTAATATAAATCCGTGTTTAACTGTATCCCATGCAATTTCCGTAGGCTAGAGATGAATTGCAAGGTTTTTGTAACAATTAAGACAAACATGATTTTTTTTTATATTTCTAAGCATATATTTCATGTGTCAGAGCCAGCCGCGAGCTAAGTCAAGTCAAGTCAAGTCAAGTAAACTTTATTTATAAGTCGGATACATCAACAATAAACATAAGCTCTGGTGAGCTTTTACACCGACTACTATAATATGATACACATGTTTAAGATATGATAAATGACTGAGGAAAATGGTTATAATAAATAAGAAAAATAGAATTGCATTAACAAATAGAGTAGACAAGCAGCATTGTGCTAGCATTCATCAGTAGCATACAAAAGTAAGAAGTAATACATATTAAGATCTAATAAAAAATATTCATTAAGATACATACTAAAGGTTAAGATACACATCACAGCCTATATAAAACACACAAACATTTAAGCAGAGAAACATCAAGCATACACGCCGAGTCCAATCGTTCACTATGTTTCCCAGGCGGAGAACGCATGAAGAGATCAATTTTACAGGTGGAAAACCGATACTGTGGTAAGAAAATTGTCTTCAATTTCTTTGAAAATGCATATTTCACAAAACTTTATAGCCTATTCTGATATCGTATGATTACTTTATCCGACAGGCATCTCAAACTCGCCAAATCTTTGTTAACTTATTAGATCATTATCGACAACTGCACAAGAAAAGTCACAAAATTGGTAAAATCGCTCTCTGATAGCCAATTTATAACTTGACATCCAAGCAAACTTCTAAACATTTGTATCGCTCTAAAGGTTCTTTATTAACATATCCTCATCCACCAAAAGCCTGTTCTATTTCTATTCCGTATTTATGGAGTATAATATCGTTTAAGCGAATTTCCAAATTGAACGCATGAGCCGAACTTTTCATGTGGTTTCATAGGTTTGCAAAGTGAACGCATGAGCAGGTGGTATTTTTAAAACTCCAGTTTTTCCTAATGATCTAACAAATTTAACATATTCAAACTTTAAAACCTCTCATTTTTGAACACATAGGTACCCTCAAAGCACGACATAGGCTTTTATTTGCGTTAATCGTTAAGTATGTATGTAATATTTCTTACTTTTATGTAAATATTACATACTTAGCGATTAACGCAAATAAAAGCATATGTCGTGCTTTGAGGGTACCTATGTGTTCAAAAATGAGAGGGTACCTGTGATATAAAAATTCAAATGAAGAGAGGTAGCCCGTGCCACTGCAAAACCGAAAGTTGGGTGTTTTTATGAATTTTTCATTTATTTTTGACAATATATTGTCCGAAGATGATATGTATATGAACATATTAAATATGAATGATGCATATATAATCAAGCCATAGGTTCATTTCAGCCCGAAAAATATGTCGAGGTGATGGGCGAGGCAAGACATGTCGATTTTTAGCTCACCTGTCACAAAGTGACAGGGTGAGCTTTTGTGATCGCTTTTCGTCCGGCGTCCGTCCGTCCGTAAACTTTTGCTTCAAATGACATCTCCTCATAAACCACTAAGCCAATTTCATCCAAACTTCACAGGAATGTTTCTTTGGTGGTCACCTTTAAAATTTGTTCAAAGAATTTAATTCCATGCAGAACTCTGGTTGCCATGGCAACCGAAAGAAAAAACTTTAAATATCTTCTTTTAAAGAACCCAAAGAGCTAGAGCTTAGATATTTGGCATGAAACATCTTCTAATGAGTGTCTACCAAGTTTGTTCAAATAAAAGCCCTGGGGTCAAAATTGGCCCCGCCCCAGGGGGTCATTGATTTTCCCTATATGCATATAGTAAAAACTTAAAAAATCTTCTTTTAAAGAACCCAAAGAGCTAGAGCTAAGATATTTAGCATGAAACATCTTCTAGTGAGTGTCTACCGAGTTTGTTCAAAAAAAGCCCTGTGGTCAAAATTGGCCCCGCACCAGGGGGGTCATTGATTTTCCCTATATGCATATAGTAAAAACTTAAAAAAATCTTCTTTTAAAGAACTCAAAGAGCTAGAGCTAAGATATTTAGCATGAAATATGTTCTAATGGGTGTCTACTAAGTTTGTTCAAATAAAAGCCCTGGGGTCAAAATTGGCCCCGCCCCGGGGGTCATTGATTTTCCTTATATGTGTATAGCAAAAACTTAAAAATCTTCTTTGAAAAAACCCTAATAGCTAGAGTTTAGATATTAAGCATGAAACATCTTCTAGTGAGTGTCTACAAAGTTTGTTCAAATTAAAGCCCTGGGGTCAAAATTGGCCCCGCCCCTGGGGTCATTGATTTCCTTATATGTGTATAGCAAAAACTTAAAAAATCTTCTTTGAAAAAACCCTAATAGCTAGAGTTTAGATATTAAGCATGAAACATCTTCTAATAAGTGTCTACAAAGTTTGTTCAAATAAAAGCCCTGGGGTCAAAACTGGCCCCGCCCCAGGGGTGTCATTGTTTTTAACTATATGTGTATAGTAAAAAACTTAAAAAATCTTCTTTTAAAAAACCCAATGAGCTAGAGCTTAGATGTTTAGCATGAAACATCTTCTTATGGGTGTCTACCAAGTTTGTTCAAATAAAAGCCCTTGGGTTAAAATTAACTCTGCCCCGGGGGGGGGGGGAGAAGGTCTTTGTTTTTCCTTATATGTGTATAGCAAAAACTTAGCATCATGAAACATCTTCTAATGGGTGTCTAAATTCCAAGTTTGTTCAAATAAAAGCCCTGGGGTTTAAACTGGCCCCGCTTCGGGGGCCTATATACAGGTGAGCGACCTCAGGGCCATCATGGCCCTCTTGTTTGTAGCTTATTGTGAAGTTGCAGTACATGACAAATCAGCACATAAATAAAACATTATAGTGTTCCGTGGTATACATCTTCTCTACGTGTCATACCTCCTTTCCTTATTACAATGACATTTTACTGGACTGTTACCCATCGCTGCTTTGTTTTTAACAGAGAATGACCTGTGCATGTTCAAAGAGGGTACCGTTTGAGCAGATTTCGCAAAGAGGGTACCGATATGGATATGCACCCTGAATTGGTAAGGTACAAATCATTGATAACTAAATTAAAGCCATTTTAATGCGAAATTTATTTAGCATGTCGACATGATTATGATTTGGTAAGAAATATATAATAATAATTGCACTGTGCAAATTGTCTTGTACATAATATATACGGAATTGCTGTTGTACTTGTTAAACAGATAAAAACTTTGCGTAGAAGAGAGCTGATCCATTTCACCTAAGAACACAAAAAAAATATCACTTAGAATGAAGTGTATTTTTATCAATATTAATATCAATGATTGTTTTACAAAATATGTACTTTGATAATTAAATCATGAATCCTGAATAATTGTATACAATTACTATCATACATGCATAATATTAAACAACAAATACAACAAAGGACAAATGACAAATAATAGCGTATGTATACTCTTTTAAAGTCCCTGTACCTCAAAACTTTAATAGTCTAATATGATAAACCTGATACTCAAATAAAGAATTACCAATATTACAAATCTTACATAGACATTATCGAATTTAACAAGTTCTGTAAATAAAGGGAGGTAATTAGAAACACACTCGTACTTTGCCTATTCTTCATTAAAATAAAAAGTGTATTATTTCTAAAAGAAAAAACTTATAATGAACCTATAAAAATATATGTGTTATTTCAACATTTTCTTGTATGTTCATTTTGTTGTCAGGAAGGTGATATATATATTACTGCTTAAAGATCCTGTATGTTATAATTAAGGATGTAACATCCTTGCGAAAGTTGCACCGCGTGTGTATATAAAGTCATTTCTTATGAAAAACATATTCTTAAGAAGTTGACATTATTAAACACATTATATGATATTTCTTGAGGAAAAAAGGTTGTGAAATTTTTATTTGAATGCAAAACTGATTTTTTTTACTAAAAACAGATTTCTAATTATCTCCTTTTAATATCGGAAATTTTAAATTTTGGCAATATCCTTATCAAAAAGGTTTTCTGTAACTTTTAACATTGTTAATTCTTTATTTAAGCCAAAGATTTTTCATACAAGAACATAAAATTTTGAGTCACATGATCTTTAAGTGTATGTTACATCTTTAATTATAACATACAGGAAATTTAAGCCCCATCAACCAATGATGTTGTATTTTGCAAAAATTTTACTCAAAGTTTTAGCAATGAGGATTTATTATATTTTCACAGAACCGAACAGACCTTCATCTATTGCTTATAAGCAATTCGTCATAAGGTATGAAAATAGGGACTTCTGTTTGCTCAAACATTTGGAACGAAAATTTTGGAATTTAAAGGTTCAGTGATTGATAACATGTGAGATATCCATGAAAACTGGAGTAACCAAAAAATCCGCCTGCTCATGCGTTCATTTTGCAATCTGATGAAACCACATGAAAAGTTCGGCTCATGCGTTCATTTTGAAAATTCGCTTAAACGATATTATACTCCATAAATACGGAATAGAAATAGAACAGGCTTTTGGTGGATGAGGATATGTTAATAAAGAACCTTTAGAGCGATACAAATGTTTAGAAGTTTGCTTGGATGTCAAGTTCTTGGCTATCAAAAAGCGATTTTACCAATTTTGTGACTTTTCTTGTGCAGTTGTCGATAATGATCTAATAAGTTAACAAAGATTTGGCGAGTTTGAGATGCCTGTCGGATAAAGTAATCATACGATATCAGAATAGACTATAAAGTTTTGTAAAATATGCATTTTCAAAGAAATTGAAGACAATTTTCTTACCACAGTATCGGTTTTCCACCTGTAAAATTGATCTCTTCATGCGTTCTCCGTGAACGATTGGACTCGGTGATACATATACACAGTAAAATGCATAGACAAGCCAATTTCTAAAAAAGAGCAAATTATATATAAATAAATAAAACATGGTAAGGACTAAGCAATAGAATGACAAGATTAAGATATGCATATTGAATAACAACGCTGACATTAACATACACACATACATGTATATAAAATATGATACATAGCACATAAAGAAAATAGAAATAAATCTATCACAATAAAAGCACACAAAAGCAACTGATTTACATTTAGGTAATTAAAACAAGCACAGTGATGAAACAAATACATAGCAAAAGTAACTAAGGACTTGAAACATCCAGCATGTCGCTGCCAAAATGTTTGGGTTTTTTTTAAATGTACATGCATTATGTGATAAAACATGATGTACAGGAGTAGTTCTCCCCTTGCCAAGTATTTATCAATGATCTAAAATGGTTAAAAGATGAAGTTTGTCTAAAATTATCTGGAAGTTGATTCCAAAGTTTTCTTACCAAATCTGTCAGTTCTTGGTAAAGGTACCTCAACAATATTAGTGTGTCTAAAATTATAGTTAGAATGTTTAAGATGTAGTAAATCATTTAAATAAACAGGAGACTAATAGAACATTTATAATCAGAACACAAAAGAGAGATTGCTATATAAAGAAAAAAAATGTCATCATTTACAAAGTACTATTCATTAGCTTTAACTTTACTTTAATTCTGACAATAGGCTATTTGGTTTTTGAAATTAAATTGTGTGCAACAAAAAAAATTGTGTGCTGTGACGCAACGAGCTGTATGTGATACATGATTTGCATGCATGTGTATTTTTACGCGAACACCGGCCAGATTTTAGTGAACCATATTTCGAAAACAATGTCTAGTTTGAAACAAACTCCCTTGACTTGCAGTGGACATACTCGTCCAGTTGTTTTTCTAACATACAGTGATGTAACCCCATTTGGTTACTTTTTGATAAGTGCATCAAAAGGTGAGTAAAATCAAAAATATATACTTGCATGTATTCGGAACAAACCATTTTCGGATATGAATAATTTTAGCAACATTGATTAACAATGAGATGAAGAATAAGGGTAAGACAGGTTTTTCTAGCATCAATCTAAACATTAGATAATTCTGTTAATCACCAGGGGTCGGAAAAGGGCCCAATTTCCAAATCCAAATGGCCTCTATTCTTTCAGGCCCGTCGTCACGATTTTTTGATTGGTGCTGCCAATTTGGTAGATTTTAGCCAGAATCTAGGGGGGTATGGGGGCATGCTTCCCCGAAAAATTTTTTATTCTAGGATGTTCTTAGGGGCGTTTTCCCATATATTTGGCACATTTTACAGCCTGTCGCTAGAACATGTTATAGTAAAATGTCGATTTTTTTACAGATTTAAGTGCGTCGTTAGTTTTAAGGGTGAAATTTAAGGTTTTCATAACGGACGGACAGGTGAACATAAAAGATGAATGCATATGTAATTGATATTTGGCGAATGAAAAATAAACATTCTAACACTATTGGAACTTTTTCTATATAAACAAAGAAGGCCCGAAGCGTGTATTATTCTACAACAATGCACTCGCCGTTCTTATTATCTCCCTGTGTATGTTCACATTTATTCTTCTGAGCTCTGAGAATATCCTTTCACTGGTAGCATTAGCAGCAGGCATTACTAACAAATTCTTTAACAACACAATGACCTCTGTTCATGCACCGATTGTTTTGACACAAATTTCAAAGCGTCAATTAGAGTAACAGTACTATTTCCTGATTTGTCAAAATGTGAACGTAGCAGCTGAAGCTGCACCTATAAGATGTCTCGGTTAATATCGTTGCCATATAAATCACAAACAAAAACCAAGTTTTCTAGTGAACGGTCTTCAAAGGTTGTGCGGTCTTAATAAATAAATCCTCCACGTTCTGAAGTACGCGATATCTCGGTTGGTCAAATCTCTCTTTAACACTGGCCATGGCAAGATCGATTGCTTCAAAATACTAAAGCCGGAACACGTCCTGTTCTGTTCTGTTCTGTTCTGTAATTATGTAATAGAGTAATTGAATGAGTTTATTACTGAATTTATGTTAGGAGTTGAATGGAAATATATTATGCGAGCCTCTGGCGAGTATAATATTTTATTCAACGAGTTCAATAAATTCAGTTATGAACTTACACGAATTCAATATTCTTTTTATTACATACCAAAAATAAGTACCCTTTGAAGTGAAAAACAACCATTTTTCATTGACGCCCATAGAAAAACGCTAACATTTAGTGTGTATAACGCAAATGACGTCAAAATATATGCACGGCCGTGCAATACGTACCATTTTCACGGAGTCGCAAAGACGGCACAGATATGTGATAAAAATATGACTTTTGAACAGTTGCCGTGTACAATCAATAAAATATTATCAAGTTCTCGGAGAATTCAGGCATACTAGTTCAAGATATTCATAATGCACATATATATATACATGTATATACGGTGAACTGTCCGAAGTCACGTCGATCTCAATTAACTTCACATTTAACTTCATAGGACCCCTACATATACCTGGTCAATTAACAGTGTCCATTTGTTTCTTCGCGTCATGTTTGTATGTTACCGCGTATTGCATAAGGGGCCAGTTAAGTGTCAAATTGCTTATCAGCGGTGCGTGTTTTTTTTTTATTGTTTTTTTTCTTTTTCTTACTCATTTTTGGCCAAAATATTGGTCCGGCCAAGACCGGACCGGCTGGACCATCGACGACGGCCTTGTCTTTCCCATTAAAATAGTAACCAACAACGGAAAGCCCCAACAACAACCAAAAGAGTCAAAATGTTTCCAATTCTGTGAAAAATTTGACTGTTTTTACTTAATATTTCTTATTGAAAAGTGACAAGTTTAAATAATGATAAAGTGACGGGTTTTAATTATGATCATACACATGATAAAAATCTATTTTAGTATTTAGAGAATGTTATAATTCAGGTTTCTGGTATAGATGATGTGGTTTAATGCCCATTGAAATTACTTGCTTTTGTATAAGCATATAAGAGAATTTTTATATCTATGTAAGTCCAGCATTTTCCATTCTGAGAGATTGCATTAGAATACTGCATATAAGTACATGTAACACTGCTCATGTGATTGTAGCTAAACATGAATCACATGACATAATGAAATGCTAGCCACTGTACTTTTCCGGTATGATTTTCAGCAGTTGTCAACTGAATTTTCAATGAATCCCAGCTCAACAAATCAAACTGTTGTCATATTGAAAATTATCTTTTTCATTGTAGATGGAAAACCAATGTTGCGTCAGGGTGACACTGGTGATTGGATTGGAACATTTGAAGGACATAAAGGGGCTGTGTGGGGAGCTACCCTCACTAGAGATGCTTCTAAAGCTGCCACAGGAGCTGCTGATTTCACAGCGTAATAAATTGTTTTTAATTACTATATTGGATTTCCCAATTATGGCGACCCAGATCCATTCCCATATTCTACCCAGTAATAGTAATCTAAACCAACATAGTGAAGCCAAGGTGGTAATAGACTAATTAATAGCAGTTGGAAGGGTAGTTTTACAATACACTGTGAGCACATACAAGCAGTTGTATTAGTTTAAACATCTCTGTGTAAAGTTGATTGTAAAGAATGTTCTTGCCCCTTTATTTTAATGACTTTCAAATAATTATGTTATTTTGCCTAATTATAAATAATACTAATTTTATGTAATGATTCATGATCAAATTGAAAGTAGAGCTCAAACAAATGAATTCTGTGATGAGAACCAGTGTTTAAAGGGACTCCACTGAGGTTTAAAAGCCCTAAAACATAACATTTGAATTTCTTACATAAATGAGCTGGGACACTTCAAACAGAAATATATTAAAATATAGTAGGAAATATACTTGGAAATAAATTGAAAATTGTATTTTTATGCTTCTCTTAGCCCGATTTGAGTGAAAAGCGTTTAAACACATTTTGGGTAATTTTTCTACAATTTGAATAATTATTCTGGAAAAACGTAGTGCGCGAATGATATGAAATTTTGCACAAAGATTAGTGGTCTAAACCTACAAAGTTTTTGAGGATGCTATAAACTATTAAAATGTAATGATAATGTATGGATTTGAAAAAAAATTAAACCTTCATTTCGTTCATGTACCTGCTTATTTTGAGGTGTATTCTTTTGTTTTCAGTAAAATTTGGGATGCTGTTAGCGGTGAAGAGTTACACACATTCCAGCACAAGCATATAGTTAAATGTGTTGATTTTTCTACTGATGGAAACAGACTTTTATCTGGAAGTCAAGAGAAAATTCTCAGAATATTTGATTTGGAAAATTTAGATAGTGGTAAGAATGAAAATTTAAAGTTATAATACGATGCCCATCCTCGAGTAAAAATATATTACTCTTAGTTTATTGAAATCTATAAAAATTTTACTGAATATGTCTTATTTGAATAAAAGAATGAATAAACTATATGTAAGTATGGGAAACTGCAGACAGGTTAAATTGGTCCTTTCTTATACACTATGTATTTATTTATTGTGACCACCTAGTGACCTACAAGTAGTGTGTAGAATTTTAAACATAACATATCTACTTTATGTGAAGTCATAACATGTTTATTTTATATTTATAAAGAGACTATATAGCAATTATTAATATTTTTTGATATAAAGTTTGAGCATATGATATCTTTAAACAGTTGTAAGAATAAAATACATGTAGATACAAACTTAAGTTGATTAATACAAGCCTAACATTTTATGTGAAAAAGAAAAGTTCTGGAGATTTTTTTTAAAGAAATATTATTCCTCAGGTAAGATGAATTTTTTGGGTTGCGAGGATGATTTTTTAACGAGGTTTTTTGATAGAAAATATTTGTTCTTCGATTGGTGAATAAAGATCAGCTGAAAAAAAAATCTAGGAAATTTGATAAGTTATTTGACAAAGTGTGACAATATTAAGTTTTTTATTTACATAATCATTTTATTAAATGTGAACTTTGAAGAATCTGTTTATATTTATAGAACCACAATGTTTTTCTGGACATAGTGCTTTTATAAAGAATGCAGTGTTTACAAAAGATGGGAAACAAATAATCAGTGCAGCGGAGGATAAAACTATCAGGTATGTTCATGTTTAAAACAACAACAAAAAACCTATGAAATACAGTTTACTTGTTGAACATTGAAGAAGGCTTTTATTCCTTTTACCACTAAAGTAAAGGCCTCATTACTTGTATACATTGAAGTTGAATACAGCTGAACTATTTAATATAAATTTTGCTGCGGATTTAAGATTTTTTTCCAAATTTTCAATATAAAGTATCCTACAAAATTCAGTTAATCATAAATGAATTATTTCAGCATTTAACCAGTATTGTTATGTCTTGTTTGATTTTTAGTAAAATCGGCTTTGTATAGGTCCTTCTTTACTTGTGCCAGTTGTGGAAGAAGACCTCAAAGTCCCCTTCAACATTCCATAAAATAGCTCGATATCTCCAGTGATTTTTTTCCTGTATTTTATAGCCGAATAAAGACTGTTTCCCCTAGCCCAAAATAGATATATTTTCCTCTCAAAATGCTAATATTTTCTCCTAAAATGCCCTGTGCACATTCTTCACTTAACAGCAGCTAACATATCAGCTAGAAGACAGAAAGCTGTCTCTGCTATGTACCATTCATGTTAAATTGAATTGAAATTCTCAGGTTTTAGAATTTGATTTTCCCTTTTTCTGATTAATTGCTCCCCTTTGTTTTGAAAATTGAAAAAAAAACTGATCTCTCTCACATTAAAGAATCCAAGTCACTGACGAGATTTGAACCCAAAGTGGTGAGGTGCAAGTGATTTCATTCTGCAATTTTTATCACGTGACCACAGAGGTTCCTTTACCAATATTAAAATTTATAGTATGAACAGATGTAAATTTTTATATTAGTCACAAGTTCAGAATGTAAACTCATTCCGAATGACTAGTGATTCCTAGTGTGGTATCATCGGGACTTGTAAGATATCTGTTAATTTGAGCTGCGTTGTGTCTGTGCTTCTCTCGTCAGAATTTAGGGGTAAAGATGGTAAAGTTATCACTTGTAGATACAAACTTATGTATCAATATATATACTAAATGTTTCAGAGTATGGGATATATCATCAGGCTCTGAAGTAAAGAAGATAGATCTTGAAGCAGCACCCACTAGTCTAGAATTGTCACATGATGGTTCGGTTGTCACAGTAACTTACGGCTCTACGACCAGCTTCTGGAATGCTGAAACGTGAGTGGTGGTTATTTCATTTTGTATTATGATTTTATTTAGTCATATTTGGAGATAAAAAAAATTAATTTAATCTTATGTCTTCCTGGGCTAATCATACTTGTATAAAGAAGAAAAAAAAAACCATTGCTACTGTAGTTGGACTTGAATCTACAATCCCTTGATTGAGGGACTGACAAGAGTAGGAAGCTTTAGGACACACATTAGGAACTAGAGCACTTCTTTTAGCTTTAGTTTTATTAGATGTAATGAAACAACAATTAACATTATCTTTGTTCATAATCAATTCTAGCTTAATTGTGCTTATATAAGTTATATGTGAAGTTCAAAGATTTTTTATAGGACAGGACAAATAAAATGTATTAAGCATGTATATTGACATTTTGTGTGTTCTGCAAATTACTGTTTATATATTTACCTTATTTTGAATGCTCATAATGATAATTCTAATTCAGTGCTAGAATGTGTGTCATAAATTATTTCTTTTTTTAGGTTTGAGAAATTGAGAGAATTTCAGTCACCTACACAGATTAACACAGCGTCCCTACATCCTGATAAAACTATATTTATATCTGGTGGTGAAAACTTTATCATGTATAAATTTGATTATGAAACTGGAACAGAATTAGGTAAGTCAAAGAAAAACATGTACTGTATGTGTAGAAATTAGGGGTGTAACAATACAGCAAAAACTGTATTGCAATATATTGCCATTTTGCTGAAGCGTATTGCAATATATTGCAATACGTATTGTCGTGTATATGTTTTGATGTAAAGATGGAGTAACATTTATATATTATTATTATATGTATATATTTTTAGTAGAAACTTAATAAAAATGTAAGGAATAAATAGAAAGTAGTGTCACACAATTTGATCAACAAAACTAGTCGCGTGTGACCTTTCACATCTGGGCCGCTTATGTAAATTATGCGGCCGCTTATTGACTTTCAAGTGTACTAGTTGTCGGATACTTTTATCTTACGTTGGCGCCAACAAAATTTGCCAATTAAAGATTTTATGTGAATTTGTACAAAATTAGAAGGCAATTAATTGAAAATGATGATTTTTATAAAATACCAGTTTTCCAAAAATCGTACCGCGGTTCGAAATTTATTTTTTCATATTGCAATATATCGGTATACCGGTAAACCGTTACACCCTTAGTAGAAATATTCGCGGGCTTCAAATTTTCGCGATCTTCGCGGTGACATTCGATCCGCGAATTCATGTTTAGCGCGAATATTTCTACACCAATAATTTCTTAATAGTCATATTTTCGCGCTTCTGTAGAACAATGTACATGTATATCAGTATGTGATATGCTTTCAAACTTTTTATGTAAATCTTCACCGAGTAATTGGGTTTTGTTTTCCGAATTATTCATCATTTAAAATCGTTTATGTTTGTGTTTTTTAATTGTTTATTCAGAAAAACCAAAACATGATCTGATCAGATGTCAAGACTTTTATGACGCAAACTGTGAAAACAATATGCACGTTAACGGGCATTCTTTTGTTTGCTAAAATCTGTCCGCTAGACAATGTCTTTTTTTCTGTACAATAGAGTATCGTTTGACACCTGGTATTGAAAATAACTGTGAACTCCCACGATGATTACAGTAATTTTCCTTTTTTAACCAGAGTGGTCTACGCGAATTTATGATTTTAGGCAGTCACCTCCGCGAATTCAAAATAGCGCGAATATTTGTATAGACCCCCAAAGTGGACCTTTCCGCGAAAATTTGCTTCCGCGAATTTAAATACACATACAGTATACCATACTTTGTTTAACTAATATGGTGATTACTTAGACATGAATAGTTTTTAGAATGGAAAGTTATACATTTCCTCTATCTATTTCTCTTAAATATAGCTTTGAACTATACTAGAATCTGGACATGTAAACAGGTTTCATTATTTTGTTATTTTAAATGTTGAGATCTGCTAAATCAGACGCTAGGGAATTTGGCAGTACCTTGCCTTTACCACTGCTGTTCTTGAACAGTTAGTGTTGAATGAACTTTAAATTTCTACATTTTACAGTTTCAAATAAACTAGCATGCAGGTCCAGGGATGAGCAGGTTCAAACATCAAAATGCATTACAAAAATTTTGCTTTCCAAAGTTTAAAGAAAATGTCTTGTAACATCAATTGATTTTCTCTTTTAGTTCTTAAAGATACCTTCAGATGAATATTGTCTGATATTCTTTTATGTAGCTTAACTATACAGATGGATTGTTGTCACTCTGTCAAAAAAAAATATTGTTGAAATTTTATACAGCCTTTCATTTGTGAAATCTATTATTGAAACCATCAATAAGAAAAGTAAAAAGGGATTTGTATCAATAATATGTTTTTGAAAAATGTATATGTAATTTAACATTCTTTTATAATTAATTAGAGAAAAAGAAAATCATTTTTGTAAAAATTAATATAACAGAAAAATCAGGTTTTAATTTTCTATTTGTTTGATTACAGAGGCATTTAAAGGTCATTTTGGACCTGTGCACTGTGTAAGATTTTCACCAGATGGTGAAGTTTATGCGAGCGGGAGTGAAGACGGTACTCTAAGACTGTGGCAGACCACCGTCGGCAAAAATTATGGACTCTGGAAATGTGTTCAACCTGAAGAGATAACTCAGAACTCGGATTCAACACCAACCAAGCCAGAAGCTTAGCATATAATGACTATCACTATAATGTTTCGATAATACAGTGCTAATTGTTGTACAGTCAAAAATGCTTTAAGTAAAGCTATCATTGACTGCAATTAAACATTCATTTCATTAATTTTGTGAACATGGATCCTAGTCTTATTATCAACATGCTTCTGTTTGTGTTTTTTTTTTCAGGACAGAGGCATGTATTGTAAAGTAAAGTTTAGGAGAAAGATACATAGAAATACTGTTTGTGACTCGGTCAAATGGAAGATGCAATAAATGTAAAGATATTAGAAAGATCTGATACAGTTATTATATTGTTTTATATTATATTGCTATCACATAAATGTAAGGAGCATTTATTTTTATGACATCATTTTACTTTTTTTTTTGGGGGGGGGGGGGGTTAATGCCCCCAGACATAGTAATTATGTTAATGACATTGGTATAGTTTCTTGAATAGAATAATGGGAGTACAAAAAAAATCTCATTTGTGATAACAACTGCAGATAATGCATTGGCATTTGTACTAGTTAATAAATATCAAATTTCAGAGATTGAGGTAAACATTTTTGTCACATTAAACAAACATTGTTTTCAGGTGCCAGCAGCAGCAAAATTGTCTTTTGTTAAATACATTCAAAGTACTTTTTTTTACAAAGAATGTCAAGTATAAACACTTTTTATTTATTTAAGTTAAAAGCAAACAAATGTGTTTGAATCTTTACTTTGAATCTTTATTTAACAATATACTAGTTTATCCTTCACACTGTGATAATGTTAATTAATCTATGTGTAAATTGAATTTTTGTATTGTCACTGTCTGCCAATCACAAAACTTGTCCGGACTACTCCTCAGAAACTTTTGGTGCAATTTCATCCAAACTTTACAGGAATGATCAGTACAAAGTTGTAAGCATTTTCTAGTCCAATGAAGTTTAAATTGACTTTTTCGAAGAAAAATTTTGAGCTATTACTGTCTGGTTGTTGTTGCCATTGCCGTCCAGAAACTTTAACATTATTGTTTTCATTATTTCCTTATGGATTGTTTTCATACTGGAACACAACAACTCTTTGGACAAGACCTTCAAGTAGATCAGACTGTCCTTGACCTGTAAGATCATTTGTTTGAATTTTGTTATAATTGACAATAACTTTGTAATTTGTAAATTGGTTTGTCTTCTTACTCAGACACAACAATCCTTTGGCAAGACTTTAAAGTAGGCTAAATTGATTATGACCTTCACTCAAGACTTCGTCATTGAAGGTCAAATTAATGAGTCTTGCTAAATTTTTGTCATTTACAAATGAAATGTCTTCATATTTGGACACAACAATCCTTTGAACAAGAGCTTTAAGTAGACAAAATTGATTATGACCATCACTCATCCTTGACCTTGAAGGTCAAATTTGTAATTTTACAGTTTTTGCTATAATTGACCCCAACTTCATAATTAATCCTTTCATTGTCTTCTTATCTCAGCGCAATAATCTTTGGGCCAAAACATTAAATTTAATTGAATTTGACCGTGACCTTAATTTCACCTTGACACTTAAGGTCAAATTAGTGAATTTTGTATCAAGTGGTGATAACTTTGTTATTCATTTATGGATTTGATTTATACTTGAACAAAAGAACACTCATTTGTATGTGACAAGATCTGTATGTAGGATAATTCAAATATGACCTTGACTGTCAAGGTCAAATTATTGAAATTTGCTTAAATTGTCATAACCTGGATATTTATTTACAGATTTGAATCATGCAAGGACAAAAGAACCCATGAAAAAAAAGGTGTTTAATTATTCTGATATGACTATGACCTTTAATTGATTTTGACCTTCAGGGTCAAATTATTGCAATTTGCTTAAATTGTCATAACTTGGATATTTATTTACAGATTTGATTCATGCAAGGACAAAAGAACCCATGAAAAAAAGGGTGTTTAATTATTCTGATATGACTGACCTTTAATTGATTTTGACCTTCAGGGTCAAATTATTGAAATTCGCTTAAATTGTTATAACTGTGTTATTTATTTATAGATTTAATTCATAATTGAACAAAAGGACACACTTGACAAAAGCAACATGATTAATTCAAATGTCATCTTGACCTTTAATTGACAATGACTGTTACAAAAAATGTTTTGTAGGAGTACTCTTTATTATAATATTCTTCCTGTGCTGTGCTTGACTTTAGAAATAATAAAAAGTCAAGCATGGCCCCTGATAGGCGATGGCTCTTGTCAGAGTTTAATCCTTTAGTGATTTTGATTTATAAGTTTGAACGGACTACTTCTTTTATACAACTAATGCAGTTTGTATGAAACTTAACAGGATTGATCGGTACAACATGTGTAATTGTTTTTCTCATTGGAATGATTTATGGCCCTTGAATAAAAATAGCATTTTGGCCAGTTTAGAATGTTTGTTTCACCTGCTACACAATAGCTGCAACACAATAGCCTTGACCTCAAAACAACTGCTTTATTGGCATTTATCAAGCGATACATGTGATCACTGATCGCTCTTGTTTTGCATACTATTAACAAATTCCTTTATTCCATTTTTAGCTTGACTATTTAAAGAATAGGATGAGCTGGAGTGTTATTGTAGTTGTGTTGGCGTCGGCAACACATTCTGGTTAAGTTTTGCATGCATGTTGGTATCTTTAAAACTAATGAAGAGAAGGGTTTGAAACTTCACATATATACTTGAAAGCACAGTATGTCTGACTGTCAAAGGCCAATAGCTCTTATATGGATTCTGACATAATTATTGCCTTTTTAACTTTGAATAATCTACATCATCCAGGCTCTTGTTTTACTATAACTGACAGAGATGTTTAGCATGCATACGCTGTTCTACCAACAGCTCTTGTTTAAAAATAATTTGAAAAAAAATTTCCGTTTCTATTATTTTGCAATTATTCATGTTTTTTTTTATTCGGCCATCTATTCACATATGATATGACATACAATTTACCTACAGTCCAACGTTGATTATTGGAGTTGCCGGGGACTGAAAATTTACTTCAAATAATGGATTGGTCGAATAATCAAAATCTGAATATAGAATATCATACAAACATTAGAATACCAGATTTCCCTTTGTTGTAAAGTATTTCTCTCATAAAATGGTAGGTAATATATTTTTCAAAATGTTTCATATTTTTAGAATTGGTATTTGACCTTTTATCTGCGGAATTTGTGTACTGGACTTGTCCAGTTACCATGTTTGGAAATGTCCATTTTCAATTCAAGGGATATCAAGAGAAAATTTTGAAGTGAGCCAAATGTTTAGAGCCTGGTCAGACTGTACTGATACCTCTGCCAAAAGCTTATAACTTTCAGTTCCATGTCAAGGGTAGTATCAAAATGATTGTATATTGCAAATGATTTTGTCAAAAAGATACATATCTGTAATTACAGTGTTTTAACTCAATATTTTGGTTAAGTCTAGCAAAGAAAAACACCATACACAATCAATAGCACCAAGTTATAACTTTCATGTACCAACTTTATGTTTCTCAAATGTATAACTTCAGGTTTATTATATACTGCTGGCCTCTCAATGTTAATATTTCCATACTAAAATCCCTTTGAGACTAATATATAAATATATATAAACTTTTCAAGACTCACAGGGGAACAAGTTTATTCTATAATTGTTAAGATTAAACATTGTCACACATTTGTAGTATTTTTGGAGCGATAAATAACTGATACACATACATACATTTAAAAGCACATTTATTAACAAATACATGTAATTTAACCAATTCACTCAATATAAATGTATCTGTTGACATGCAACAGTTTTCATCATTACTATTTTTTCTTTGCTGTTAAAAGTCAAGAACTCTTGTTTTCACTACAATAAATATTACATTGATTTGAGAGACTTTAACAGAGGAGTATATAGTCACTTGACTTCAGATAGAGGCGGGGCTTATTCTGCAGGCTCAAATGTGTAGTGAATTTGTCTCTCGCCACTTGGCAGAACTCTTCCTCGAATGTAGCGGCCTACTTTAGCATAGGGATACCAATCTGAGTACTGAAAAAAAAAGTATTCATGTACATAATAACATGTGAAAGGACATTATATCACATAGACAGGCATTTTGCCAATATTACACACATGTAAAACAAAGGGCTATAACTGTGTCAAAATAATAAACAAGATTGCATTTGAGAAAAATGCTATGCCACCACATTAATACAACACTAAATAGTAGTGTAGGAACAGATTTTTTTTGTTTCTATACAATTTTGAAGATTGTCATAATGCATAGATCATTCTTATTATCAGATTAGTGGTTAAATCTGTTGTTAACTCAATAAAAGATCAGAGTAGGAATATATCAATGCCCTCCAGTCTAGTGAATTTGGTGGTGAAGGTCATATTTCACACAGCCTAAATTTCATGACTACATCAAAGGACAACACAGTAAGACACTTTGTCAAAATCTAGGTCAGCTGATATCAAAGTTCACTTTACATCTTAATCTGTGCACATGGTTCAAATTTCATAGCTGTACATCAAAGGACAAGAAAATAGGTCACATCATCAAAATCTAGGTCACCTGATATCAAAGTTCAATTTTACAACTAAAACTGTGCACATGGTCAAAATTCTATTGCTGTACATCAAAGGACAAGAAAGTAGGTCACTGTCCCCTTGGGCAAGGCAAAATTTTGGACCCAAGGGTTTAATTCAAAACAATCTTGATACAGGTCCACCAAACAACATTTCAAGTCAAATATCTAAGCTGTAGCTTTCTCCCATTCAGAAAACATTTGTTTTATTTTCTGTTTTTACTATGTGTACATAATGAGAATCACTGCCCCCTGGGCAGGGCCAATTTTGACACCAGGGGAAGAATTTGAACTTTGGTATAGGAGCTATAGATGATATTATATAGCAAACATCAAAGCTCTATGCCTTGTACCTTCAGACAAAAATATTTTTTATTTTTTTACTATATGTACATAATGAAAATCAATGACACCCGGGGCGGAACCAATTTTGACCCCAGGGCTATAATTTGAACAATCTTGGTAAAGGTTCACTTCGCAAAGTCTCATGCCATATAATTTACCTCTAGCCTTTGTCAATTCAGAGAAGAAGATTTTTCAATTCAGAGAAGAAGATTTTTCAAGCTTTTACTTTATACATATAAGGAAAACTATCGCCTCTGGGGCAGGGCAATTTTAACACTAGGGGCATAATTAAAACAACTTTAGTACAGGACCCATAGATGATATTATATACCAAATATCAAAGCTCTTAGCCTTGTACCTTCAGACAAGAAGATTTTTTAATTTTTAACTATATGTACATAGTGAAAATCAATGTCCCCTGGGGGTGGGGTCAATTTTGACCCCAGGGCTATAATTTGTACAATCTTGCTAGAGGTTCACTACATAATGTTTCATGCAAAATATCTTAACTCTAGCCTTTGTAAATTTAGAGAAGATGATTTTTTAAGTTTTAACTATATACATATAAGGAAAACCTATGGCCCCCGGGGCGGGGCTAATTTTGACACTAGAGGCAAAATTTGAAAAACTTTGGTAGAGTACCTATAGATGATATCATTTAACAAATATTAAAGCTCTAAGCCTTGTACCTTCAGACAATAAGATTTTTTGATTTTTTACTATATGCATATATTGAAAATCAATGACCCCCGGGGCGGGGACAATTTTGAGCCCAGGGCTGTTATTTGAATAATCTTGCTAGAAGTTCACTTCACAATGTTTCATGCAAAATATCTAACCTCTAGCATTTGTCAATTGCTAGAAGAAATTTTTTAAAAGTTTTTACAATAAGTTTTTACTATACCCATATAAGGAAAACCAATGACCCCCGTGGCGGGGCCGATTTTGACCCCAGGGCTATAATTTGAACAATCTTGGTAGAGGTCTACCAGACAATGCCTTATGCAAAATATCTAAGCTCTAGGCCTTTTGGGTCTTTACAAGAAGGTATTTTAAGTTTTTACTATATGTACATATAGTGAAAATCAATGACCCCCGGGGCGGGGCCGATTTTGACCCCAGGGCTATAATTTGAACAATCTTGGTAGAGGTCTACCAGACAATGCCTTATGCAAAATATCTAAGCTCTAGGCCTTTTGGGTCTTTACAAGAAGATTTTTTAAATTTATTGTTATAATTCCTTTTGGTTGCCATGGCAACCAGATTTCTGCATGGAATGAAATTCTTTGAACAACTTTTGAAGCCCTTCACTCAAGGATCAATCCTGCCAAGTTTGGTTGAAATTGGACTAGTGGTTTTTCACAAGAAGATTTTTTAAGTTCACTATAATTATAATCTATATAACACACACACAAACAAACACACACACAGGTGAATTGCTATATGCCACCGCATCGCAGATGCTGCCGTGGCATGAAAACATAATGAATGACAAAGACCTGTCATTATGCTCCCAAATACATTTGGTAACAATACTTCCATGAAAGTCTCCTTGAAATCCCTAGAGAAATGTAACAAGAGGGCAGAGATGGCCCTAGATTGCTCACCTGATCAATTGAACTCATCCGAGCAATTACTTAGACAAGCATCCTGACCAAGTTTGATGAAAATAGTCTAACAAGAGCTGTCACAGGAGACAGCAAAGCTCTACTAATAAAATACTGGACGCAGTAAGGAAGATAAAAATATGAAAGAAAAATCAATTATGTATAATTATGTATTAGTTATAGTAAAAAACAACATTTGTTAACATAAATTCCAGGGGAATTATTCTGGAAATAGTCACCCTAAAGTTCTGAACCTGGTCAAACAACATGTGTGTAATGATAAGAAATGTATATTTGAAGTTTGATGTAGATATCTTAACAAGATGGCCCTAGATCGCCCGCCTGATTGATCGAACTCATCCAAACAATTACCTAGACAAGTATTTCTGACCAAGTTTCATGACAGGTGAGTCAAAAATGTGACCACTAGAGTGTTAACAAGAATTATCCATATTTGAACAGTGTGACCTAGTTTTAGACCCCAGGTTACCCATATTCGAACTTAACCTAGTAATCATCAAAACAAACTTCAAGAATAATTTCCAGGATATTTGGATCAAAACAGTAGCCACTAGAGTGTATACAAGATACTTCTATTTTTAGCTCCTGTGATGTAGGTTTTGACCAGAGATGACCCATATTCAAACTTGACCTAGAAGTCATCAAAGACAATCTTCATGACCAATTTCAAGAATATTGGGATCAAAGCTGCAGCCACAAGAGTGTTAACAAGATTTTTCTATTTTTAGCTCCTGTGATTTGGTTTTTGACCCAAGACGACCCATATTCGATCTTGACTTAGAAATCATCAAAACAACCTTCTTGATTACTTTCAAGGATATTTGGATCAAAACTGCAGCCACTAGTGTTAACTAGATTTTTCTGTTTTTAGCTCCTGTGACCTAGTTTTTGACCAGAGATGACCCATATTCAAACTTGACCTAGAATCATCAAAACAACCTTCCTGGTGAAATTCCAGATAACTGCAGCCACTAGATTGTTAACAAGATTTCTATTTTTAGCTCCTGTGTCCTAGTTTTTGACCGGAGATGACCCATATTAGAATTTGACCTAGAAATCATCAAAACAATCTTAATGGCCAGTTTCCAGAATATTTGAATCAAAACTGCAGCTACTAGAGTTAAAACGAATTTTCTTTTTTTAGCTCCTGTGATCTAGTTTTTGACCGGAGATGACCCATATTCGAACATGATCTAGAAATCATCAAAACAACCTTCCTGACCAATTTCCAGAATATTTGGATCAAAACTGCAGCCACTAGAGTGTTAACAAGATTTTTCAATTTTTAGCTCATCAAAACGGCAGCCACTAGATTGTGAACAAGATTTTTCTATTTTTAGCTGACCCATATTTGAACTTGACCTGTATTTCTTTGGGACAAACATTCTGACAAAGTTTGATTATGATCCAATCAAAACTGTGACTGCTAGAGTGTTAACAACATAAATGTTAACGACACACAATGCCAGACAACACCCAATCACTATACCTCACCTCCTGGTCAGGTGAGTTAAAAAACAGAACATAAAAAAAGTCTATTTAAGCTTAAAAGTCTAACCTTAGGGGCATGCTAAATACAACTTTAGTAGAGAATCAGGTAATGCTACATGTCTATATTTTGAAGTCTATATTTAGCTCTTTAGACCTAATCACACTGGGAGACAAAATACTACTTTATTCACATTTTGCTCTCTTTACAACACATAACTGGCCATTCAGTCCTACTTTTTTCAGTTGTTAATCATCTAACATGTTTGACATTAATAAATACAATGTAACTATACTGTTTTCTGATTTAAACATTTTCCATTAGATTGCCATTGGTCATAATACTCTTACTTTCACACAAGAAAAAGATTTCTTACCTTTGAATTTAGCATACCATATTGTGTTGAATATATCCATGAGACAAGGATGAACATATATATAGTAACAAAAGTACAAATCATTTTCCATCTGAAATTAGAGAAAACTGTGAATCAATTAAATGTACATGAATCATTGTTACAATAAGAAATATGGCAACAGATTAGTGATTACTGTGAAATCACATAGACTTGTGGGTATGAAATTTGTTGATATTTTTTAAATTGAACCATTAATGGGCACATAAATCCGTGAATTTTGCATTTGTTAATAATGAAGATTCTTCAGAAGATTTTTTTGTTTGGGTCTAAAATTCGTGGATATGCCTACCCACAAAATCCACAAAAATTATTGTACCAAGAATATTACTGATTTTACAGTAAATGTTTTAAAATTTGAGACTATGTCATGTGACCATAAATGGTTCATTACATTAGAATAATGATAAAGATGGCACTGATATTCTGAGAGCGCTCATTTAAAACCTATTAATAGAAAAGGTCATAAATTTTCAGTGCAGAAGGTCAGTTGGTCACATTGGGACAGGGCCATTTTCCATAAGACAATGATTCGCCCCAAATAGCTCAGCTTGAAACCATATTTTGTTAAAGTAATTAAGATTTAAATGTGTTTTCCTCTATGTGTTTTCCTCTATGTACATGTGTACACTAAGTCTATGTGAACTAAACAACATTTCGGCAGATCTGTTTTGATCCTTGGGAGATGTTCAACTTTTGTAGAGGAACACAAGGTTTTACTATATACCAAAACAAAGCTCTAGGTATTTAGGTTTCTGAGAATAGGATTTTTAAAGATTTTATTTTTAAGTCTTTCTTTAATAAGACCCTGTGACCTTTTTATGCATTAGACTGAAAGCATTTGTACAACTTTGGTAGAAGACCACCTAAGGATCATGAAGTTTTGTCAAAATAAACCATGTCGCTAAGGAAGAGATTAGTATAAAGAAACTGTGGATAGAGACCTAATAAACTAGAAAATGTGTCCATAGGACACGGATGCCTCCACACGTCAATGTTCTGTCAATCTTATGACTCTAGGTCAAATATTTTTTGGACTACATGTGCAACAAGTTAAAAACTAAAAATCAACAAAGAGCCATAATTCTGTTAAATTTGGTTGCAGCAAAAATTCCTTCCTTTACTACCATCTACACATTTAGGTTGTTCATCCCTGGAAAATTAAGCAAAACCTGTCATCCGGTTAAAGAGGAGTTGCGTTCACAAAATTTCTACATAGCATATAGTGAAAAAATCAACAAAGGGCCATAATTCTGTTAAATTTGGTCGCAGCAAAAATTCCTTCCTTTACTACCATCTACACATTAAGGTTGTTCATCCCTGGAAGTTTAAGCAAAATCTGCCATTCGGTTTAAGAGGAGATGCGTTCACAAGATTTCGGGACATACGGACGGAAAGACGGACGGACGGACAAGTGCAACGCTATATGCTCCCATTTTGTGGGGGCATAACAACACACAAGTCTAGACAGACATCAAGCTCTCACAGAAGATTACCTGTAAGCACTTTGTGCTCAAGTAGGCCATTATAAATGGCAATAATAGCATGTATACCTAAGATTCATTGCTGGAAAATTTCCTAAGTTTTCAATGCAAAACTAGGTCATTGGATAACATTGGGGCAGGGTATTTTATTATTTGTAAAATTTTAGTAAAGATTCACTAGCAAATGCTACATGCCAAATATCTAAAATTTCTAATGATGATTTGTCATGCAGTAACATGTGACCCTAATGCAGGACAGCTTTATCTTTAACTCTGAGGCAAAGATTCGTATAACTCTTGTAGAGTTCCTCTACCCAATGTTCTAAGCTCTCAGACAAGTAGTTTTGGTGTGGAAGATTTCAATGTGTTATTTCCTTTAAATAAGTCATGGTAAATTATGACGATCACAAGTTGATGCTGCATGCTAAATAAATTAAATTACAAAAGCTGCATGATGGCCCAATGTCCCTAATGCAAGGATGGGATAATTGTTCTTACTGATATAATGCTCTCTTTCTCTATAATTTAGGCACAATTTAAGTTCTTGTACTTGTATTAACATCTCAAAAGTATTTTCCAAGCAATGTTTAGCATTTAATACACAGGTATGATAGAGATGTATAACTTGTAGAGATTCACTGCTAGAAATTGTCATACTTTTTCAATACATGTAATAAGGTCATATTTGGGCATGCAGTGATTTTTCTCACTTAACTGGGAAGAGGCCTTAGCCTCTTGATTTTTGGAAAAATTATCGCTAAAATTGCTGATTTGGGAAGTTAAAAAGCTGGTTTAAGTCCAGATTTTTGGGAAAACTGCATTATTTTAAAGAAAATTTCAATTGGAAAGAGGCCTTTTTTCGGAGTCTGTTATATAAGTAGGAAAATCACTGGCATGTCATTTTTGATCCAAGCAGCATAATGTTTAGAACCTTTATAAAGGCCCACTAGGAAATACAACATAATAACATGTCAAATATCTAAGCTCTAGTCATTGAGGTGCCTTAGTAAAATACTTCTTATCATCCTATATGCAAGTAGTATGTTAGTGTCTCTGGGGCAGGCAATGCCTTAACCAAAGGGAATGATTTATAAAAGAAAAATTGTAGATATCTACTAGGCAATACTGCATGCTAAATATCTAAGCTATTGGCAGTGTAGTTTTACACAAAGGGTATTGTGTTTTACTACAAGCCAATATACAGTAAGTACCGGTAAACATCCAGGACAGAGCCAATAAAACCGCCAGGAGCATGATAATCATTTGCGTGATTTTTGTATAGTCTATCTTAACTAAAAGATCACTAAGGCTGTGCCCAGTAGTATGATTTTTCTAGCTTCTGTAGAAGTCAACAAAAGGCAATACTATATGCCAAATATCTAAGCTCTTTTTATTGTACAACCTAAACATATTTTAATATATAAATGTATATAATCTAAGTGACACCTTGGGTGTGGCAAATTTTGATCCAAAGGATATGATTAATATGTACATCACTTTTGTACAAAAACCACAAGGTGATACAACATGCGGCCTTCCAAAATGTTTAAGCTTTGAGAATTGTAGTTTCGAATGAAAATGGAAATACTAATCAATAATGACAGTCAAGACAGTGTGCAGTCCTAATAGCTCACAATGGCATTTAATTTTTCTGACACAATAAAGGTTTTTATATTTAAAACAATGCTATATACTTACGGTTTAGTTCTATAGTATTTAGCAGGATCACTCTTATCTGCTACTAATGACTCATGGTAGATGTGAAGCTGAAAAATAAAACAATAAAATATGTAAATCATATTATAATAATTGAAAAAAATCCCTCAGTTTGCTAGTTGATTGTATTTGCTACCTAGTGACTTGAAAACAATATTCATAGTGACTTGAAAACAATGTTCATAGTTACTTGAAAACAATGTTCATAGTGACCTGAAAACACAATTCATAGTGACTTGAAAACACAATTCATAGTGACTTGAAAACACAATTAATAGTGACTTGAAAACAATATTCATAGTGACTTGAAAACACAATTAATAGTGACTTGAAAACACAATTCATAGTGACTTGAAAACACAATTCATAGTGACTTGAAAACACAATTAATAGTGACTTGAAAACACAATTCATAGTGACTTGAAAACACAATTCATAGTGACTTGAAAACACAATTCATAGTGACTTGAAAACACAATTCATGGCGACTTGAAAACACAGTTCATAGTGACTTGAAAACACAATTCAAGTGAATGGCACACTTTCCTTAACTTGTTACCATTTATCTTTTTATAATATTTTGTATAATGTACAAAGGGGCCAAAGATTAACTTGACTCAAAATAAACCTTGTACTGATAGTTCAATTACTTTATGACCAGGGCATTAAAAGTACAAATCCAAAGTAGCTCATTCAGAGTTATCTTCATTGATTAATATTATTATAATAATATGTTGTATTCTATTAAAATAACATTAACTAATTAATTATAAAATGGTCAGAAAAATTCATATTGAAAAACTATAAAAATCAGATTGTTCATTTATACCGGAGATGTACAATAAAGCAAACAAGACATTTAAGAACACTCCTGGACTTAAATATAACAAAATACAATTCAAATTTCTTATTTGACCCTGACAGTCGAGATTATTCAAAGGTCAAGGGCACAATCTTTGAACTAATCATCATGTCAGTTTTGTCATATGTGTTCTTTTGTCTAAGAAATGAACAAATCCATAATTTAAATAATAAGGATATGACAACTCAAATTTCAATTATTTGACCCGACTGTAAAGGTACATGTAAGTTGAATGTCGGTTTTATTATCTTGTGTTCTTTTGTCCAAGTTTAAATCAGATTTGTAAATAAATAACATATTTAAGACAATTTAAGCAAGTTTCAATGAATTTACCTTGAATTGACCTTGACAGTCAAGGTAATTCATAAACAAAGTAATAGCCACTTACAGCTTAAATAAAACAAAATTAAAAAATTGACCTTCAAGGTCAAGGTCATTGATAAGTGAAGGTCACGGTCAATTGGTCTACTTGAAGGTCTTGTCCAAATGTTTGTTGTGTCCAAGTATGAAGACAACCTAAACATATATAATTAAGTTATAACCAATTGTAGCAAATATCAAGCAAAATTCAAACATTTGACCTTGAAAAAGTCAAGGTAATTTTTGAATTAAGGTCATTAAAGTTCAGTCCAGTCAAATTGAAGGTCATGTCAAAAGGGTTGTTGTGTCCTAGTTTGAAGGCAACAACAAGACTGTAGCAATAGCTCTTTTTCTGTAACTTACAGGATCTCCAAAGTTTCTTCTCAGCACAGGGTCATCCCAATTTTCATAGGGATCCTTTTGCTCATCACCTATTAATGGAAACTGGGGATAAGTACCATGACCATTACCGTCATCAGGCAAGGGAGTGTAATCTTCTGGCAGTAAACCATATTCCTTGGCTGCAGCTTTTCTCTCTTCTTCAGTTTTTGGGTATGGCTTAGGCATCCAATCTTTATTCCATTCTAAAATATGAAAACAAAAGGGTCATTTAATCATAAAAGCTCCCAAGAGACATATTAAACTAAAGAGTTAATTGTCTTATTCTATCCTTCTATTACTTTTGCAATGTCGAGGCAGACAGATAGAAAAGTTGATTTCGATATACCCCCATTATAACGTTGTTTTGCGAAGGATATAAAAAACATGAGACAATAGTTTTAAAAAGTATGCTTAATCTCAAAAAGAAGCAATGATAGCTAGTTAAACATTTAAACTATGTTTTACAGTTACCAGAATTTGAGTAGGGATTTTTGAAAATACTGGTGTTTCTTTCAGACTGTTAATTTTAATAGAAACAATTCAATAAAAAATCAGTTAGCATTCTCTAACTTTTCAATTAAATTAAATATATTACCTCCAAAAAATGAAACCAGAATCAAATTTTTTAACAAAGCCCTATCACCAAGTCCCCGTTCCCAATCCAAAACTTACTCATTTTTTTACCCAAATCTAAAAACAAATCCCAACAGATGCTCAAAAAATAACATAATTCAACTTCTGAGAAAGATCATACTGTTTTTTTTATACTTAAATTAATGAAAATTTGAGTAAAGTCACTTTTCTCAAATTTTCAAACATGCCACATAATTTTTCCCATTTTAAAGCAGTGGGCATTTACCAAAATTGTTGGAAAACTTAAGACCTTTCCAAAAATGAATAAATCTGAAGAAAATGTTTGTTTAGACTGTACTGTAAGACGTAAAAGACAATTGTAAACAGGGACCTGTAAAAAAAAAAGAAAATAAATAAAAGAAATATTGCATCAAAGAAATTGACACGTCCAATAGGAAACTTAAAGCAAGTGCCAATTATGGATTTTAGTGACTTGAAGATTTAATACAGTAACTCATGTTCCACAAGTGCATTACAGATGCTGTTCCAAAACAAGAGGGCCATGATGACCCCCACATTGCTCATTTGAGATAAATTGCTAGGAGAGGTCACAATTTTTATTTTACAATTCTAAAGTCTGAGTTATGAAGTCACATTTGGTTTGTCATTTTTTACCCAAACTGCATATCTTTTTTAAAAAAATACTTGTAGATGACTGCTACGAAATGCTTTATCAGTAATGACATATACCTATGCTCTTGGCATTGTTGCTTCACAAAAGAAGACCAACATATTTTCCTAAGTGACCCCCAGGATTCCCCAATATTCCTTTATTATCAAAGAAATGCTAAAAATCTCAAGGAATAAACCAGCCAAATTTATCTAATCAATGTAAGCTACATACATACTTTCTCTATATACCTATTAAATAGTGACTACCAGCACTTAAGCCAATGACAATGGCCACTAATTTGGTGCTTGCCTCAGGGATAGAATTTAGCAATAATTTCTACTTGCAAATTTTTGCAAGTGATCAAATGATTAACTGGCAATATGAGGTAGTCAACTGGCATTTCCATATCATGTATCTTATTATTATAATACACAATGACAATGTATTTTGAACATATTATGGTATGACAATTCTTAGGACCTTCATTAATTTTAGCATATTTTGTACTTGATTACACCAACAGCCTGAAATCTCAGAGGTACTGATCTACTTAAATAAATATTTCAGCTTATAAGTAAACACTTTACAGAGGAGTGCTACGCATTTACATTGGACCCTGATAAAACAACATGTGTTTGGCTGTTATAAATAGTCCATCAAAACATACTCACAGAAAAAATAAATAGAGCAACCAAAAAATGATTTTTGTGTCGCCTCTACGGAGTAGTGGCGACATATAGGGATCACTTCTCCGTCGTCCGTCTGTCTGTCCGTCCGTCTGTCCGTCCGTCCGTCACAAAACTTGTCCGGACTACTGCTCATAAACTACTGGTGCAATTTCATCCAAACTTTACAGGAATGATCAGTACCAAGTCTAGTTGTGCATATTGTCAGCATTTTCCGGTTCAGTGATTTTTGTAAGAGTTATGGCCCTTTAATAATTTTTAATTTTAAAGTTTGTCCGGACTTCTTCTCTTATACCACTAATGCAATTTCAATGAAACTTTACAGGATTGATCTGTAGCTCAAGTCCTTGCGCATATTGCACAGGTTTTCCGGTTGAATGATTTTTGGCCAAGTTATGGCCCTTTGACAAAAAGGTGTTTTTTTCTGTGTTGCCAGATACACAAAAGCTTGTCTGGACTACTCCTCATAAACTACTGGTGCAATTTCATCCAAACTTTACAGGAATGATCAGTACCAAGTCTAGTTGTGCATATTGTCAGCATTTTCCGGTTCAATGATTTTTGTCAGAGTTATGGCCCTTTAATAACTTTTATTTTTAAAGTTTGTCCGGACCACTTCTCTTATACCACTAATGCAATTTCAATGAAACTTTACAGGATTGATCTGTAGCTCAAGTCCTTGCGCATATTGCACGGGTTTTCTAGTTGAATGATTTTTGGCCGAGTTATTGCCCTTTGATAAAAAGGTCTTTTTTTCTGTGTGTTGCCAGAAACGCAAAAGCTTGTCCGGACTACTCCTCATAAACTACTGGTGCAATTTTATCCAAACTTTACAGGAATGATCAGTACCAAGTCTAGTTGTGCACTGTCCGTCTGTCTGTCTGTCACAAAATTTGTCCCAACATGAAATTGGCCATCATGAGGCGACACATGTGATTACTGATCGCTCTTGTTAAGTTTTTAAGGTAAACTTCATCAGTTACTGCATCTGGCACAGTAAACATCATCAGTTTCTGCAGCAGGCAGTTGCCAAGCATCATCATCAGCTTAGAAGATATCAATTTTGTAAAAGTCCAAAATGAACAGTCACTTGCAAATAAATGCCAGCTAGAGTAATTTTTACTGGCATTATTAGATTTTAACTGGCATTTTGCCAGTATGCCAGCTTAAATTCGAACCATGTGCCTTTAAATTAAGGTTGGTTAAAATACTGGTGCAAGTAGTCACAACAGACTAAAGATGTTTGTAAAACATGCATGACCCCACATCAGTATATCAGAAGTTGCACATACATGTACATGTAAGGCCAATGTAGCCTTGACCTTTGAGGCCATGAAAAATCAAAATGGTTCATCTTCTGCCCAACACCAATGCTCCTATGGGCTAAAGGCCCATTGGTTGACAAGTTACTGGTTGGAAACCTTCTTGACATGCAAGGTCAATGTGACCTTGAACTTAAAGCCTGCTACCCTAAAATCAATAGGAGTCTTGTAATTTATGACCAAGACTAATGCATCTGTGAAGTTTGAGGGCCCATGGGTTGTCAAAATATTGGTCAAAAACTGTTTTGACATACAAGGTCTTTGTAGCCAAGACTTTGACCCCAAGATCAATAGGGGTCATCTACTTCCTAAAACAAATGCACCTATAAAGGTTTAGGGTAACATGACCATGTGTTCTCAAGTTATTGATAGGAAACAATGTGTGACAGACAGACGTTTCAATCCATTCCCTTCTGTAATTATGAAGATACCAGCTTACATGTACATGCAAAACTTCACCATGAATTTCTAAGTAGAGAAAGGGGCATAAATATGAAAAAAAGCAAACCAGAGTTATGGGACTTGTGCCAATAATGTTAAAGAAGTGTGTGAAGTTTCAATCCATTCCCTTCCGTATTTATGGAGATACTAGCTTACACGCAAAAACTTAACCAAGAATTTTCTAAGTCTAAAAAGGGGCATAAATATGCAAAAAAGCAAACAGAGTTATAGGATGTGTGCCAATTATGTAAGATAATCACAGAGAACAAGTGTGTGAAATCTAAATCCATTCCCTTTAGTAGTTATGGAGATACCAGCTTACATGTAAAAAATTAACCACAGGGACGTCAACACCAAAAATAGGTGATTACAACAGCTGGAGTACTATGCGAATATCTATAGTCTAGCTAAAAATGGCATTTTTTTTCAATTTTGCGTGAAAATAAAATTTAATAATGATTTACATTTGATTCAGATGCCTCACTTGTGTAACCATGTTCGAAGTCAATAAGATTAAGGGTTGACAATGTCTGAGCAAGGTCAGGGTTTCAAGCCGCTCAAGAGGTCTGACTTCCTAGTTTATTTTCTTATTTATTATTTTATTTATTTTTTTAGATAGTTTCTGTGGTAAATGGTCATGTCAGCCCTATACCAACTTGGCCTATGAATAAAATATTATCAACATATTGATGCTTGACTATGCATACTTTAAATGTGATGAAGTAAATTGTCATTTTTTCAACTGAATTGATTAATTCCTGTTATGGTGTAAATTGGTGATATATATTTTAAGGTATTCAAATTTATTGCACCTGATCATTTTCATAAATGATGGTCAATAATTTTAGCCTGTGAATGCAAAGCCAATCAATCATAATTATCACCTGATTAATCTGTACTCATTGTGTTACTTGACAGACTGTCTACGGCAATCTCCTGGATTAGACCCCTATGTATATTTCAGAAGTAAAACTTTTATACAATACGCTACAGAAAACGGAATGAACCATATATATACTTCTGGTTTAGACCCAGGGTCTTATAATTCCAGGATATAGCCGGAAAAAGTATATATACTAACTGGTAATATAATAAAAGAGTGGCTGTGCAAAGTTGACCTTTGCAGAGTTTGTGATTGGCCGAGTTAGTGGTAGTGCCCAGCTGACCCTGATTCGTTTTTGTTAATCCTGTAATAATTAGATTCTAGAAATCTACATTGTTTGGGATTTTTTTACTCATGATAGTGCATGAAATTCAAATTGAAAGAAAATTTGATAAAACTTTTGATTAAAGTGTCACGGTTCAGAACTGTAGAAGATGTGTAAGTGGCCGGATAGCTCAGTCGGTAGAGCCCCGGTACAGTATTCTGAGGGTCTGTGAAATTCAAGGTCTAATTTCAATATGGAACGGGAGTATGTCACGGTTCAGAACTGTTCACTATTTAGGGGAGACGATGTGTAAGCTCGGATAGCTCATTCGGTAGAGCCGCGGTACGGTATTCTGAGGGTCCCAGGTTCGAGTCCCGGTCAGGCTGCACATTTTTCTCACCCTTTGACAAAAGTTTGAAAGCCAAGACAAAAGACATTTTGTTTTATGTTGTTATGAGTTATGAGCAATAGGGCCTAGCTAATAAAAGTAAATATAATGGACGAAAAAATAAGAAAATAATTTATCCGAAATCTAGTGTAGTTGAAGGTCAAACACTTTATTTTAAATTACATAAATTTAATTATGAACAAGTATACGTATGATGTGTTACATAACACATTTTACCTCCTTGTACGACCGCAGTTGATGAGATGCAGCGTGGCTTCAGCAAACAAGCACTATAAACTCGGTGAAGCTGCACCCACCGTCGCAATGCAGCCATTTTAATTCCGGTTCCCAGCTCGGTCAGTAGGAACACTTTGCCGATCAATCATATTCCCCCCATTCGTCGGGAACCAGATTAGCAGAAAAGAATGAAAAGTATAATTTAAAATTTGTAAAAAATGTAAACAAGAAATTAACCTAATTCATTATCTACAGTCATCATAGTATGATAAATCATCAATGCATTAGGAGGCATTACTATTTCTGTGTGTCATGAATTATCTGACAAAAGGTATTAAAAAAGTGGTGAATAGAAAAACAATTTGAAAATCATATTCATAAAATGCTAAACTTTAACTTTTATCACGGATTTATATTAAATCCGTGCTTTTATAAAGGGTAGTACACAAGTACCAACCAGTTCCTCACTGTCTGTTCTCCTGCATATGCGCAGACTGTATTTCCCCAGATCATTTTCATCAAAAGATGAATATTGATTGTTAATATTAATTTAGCTATTAAACTATTACACACACAGGGGGCCCACACATATTATAAGGTTATGACTAAAATCTCATTTTAAGGTCACTATCAAGCAGTAGATCTATATATACCATCCAAACACTGTGTGGGCCCCCTGTGATTACACAGGTAATATATTATAACTACAATTATAAGTTAGAAAACGAGAACAACACAATGAGATAATAATCATTCATTCATTGATAATTCTTAACATCAAAATGTAATACATTATATCAGGCCCGTTGTCAAGATTTTGTGATTCCTGCGGTCAATTTGATGGTGCTAGGGGGGTATGGTGGCATTGCTCGCTGGAATTTTTTTTATTCAATGAAAGTAGGATGCCCTCAGGAGCGTTTTCCTGTGTATTTGGCACAGTTTAAAGGCTGCCGCTGGTACATGTATATTGTTTTAGCATTTGTCACAGATTTTTTACAAAGATCTGTGCGTCGTAATTATAAGTTTTATAATAAAAATGAATTTTTCGGATTTTTCCACAAACATTGCCGTCGTACGTTTCGGAAACAAAAGTAATTTTGGTTGATTTGGTTCCAATGGAACTGTGTCACACGTCATGATATATCTTAATATTTTAAACTTTTTGTATTAGGATACTAATGTGAGCAGCATCATAATTTAAAGAACTATAATGTTTGGCCAAAATATTGGTCAGGCCTTGGCCAGACCGTTACATGGCCCTGTGTATGTTATGTTTCATCTTTCTTTACATTAACTGTTTTGTACAATTTATTGTATATCTTTGATACATATATTTGTACCAAAAGTTTGATGGCATACCAGAACATATCTTTTACCACACAAGTAGCTATTTATACAAATGATTGGAGTTGATTAATTTATTATTAAACCTTAATTATATCCCTTAAACGTACAATCATAATCTTTCACAATGAAAATGTTTGATTGAATTAAAATACCTGAAAAAGTAATAATATATCTACTGGTCGGAGAAATAACTCTGACCCATAGATAAGCGGTTAGCCTGACACTTGATAAATATAATTGCTTTGTATCATAGTTTAGGGACCTTTCTGTTGAAAATGTGTCAGAGTTAAATCGTATACATATACATGCACATTGCGTTAACTGGAGTGCAGGTATTAGTTACCCGCACTCAAGAGCATGCCCATTGATTGGTTCATTTTGTCCGGGGTTTACATATTGCGACGGCAGAGAAACAGATAGCGATGGAAATATCATATTCAGATGCTCGTTCATCATGTTCATTGGTTACTTTTTTCTGGGGTTTCATATTGTGGTATCAGGGAACGTGTTTTTATGTTTGACTATGATACAAAAGAGAAAGAACATCCAAACACTCGGCAATCTGATTTATACTCGGGGGCTACGCTCCTCGTACAAATCAGATAGCCTTGTGTTTCGATGCTCTTTCTATTACATAACTTTGTTTTTCAAGAAAAAAGCACATATGGTCACCAAGTTGTATAGGAGCAGGACAGAATGTGATGATTTTTTTTTTAAATTTGGTAAACTTTTTAATGTTTTTCAAATAACCTAAACTTTTTGTAGGCAGAAACTGTAACATAGTTGGAATTATATTGAACACAGGCCACTGACTTGGGAAAGATTTTTGAAAAATTGTTTAAATATTAACAAAAAATAGATAGAACATATGAGATATTAAATTGAATTATTGATGCTGATTTGTCGACTTTATCTACTGTTGTGGGGTAAAAATACCATGTTTTGTATACCTCATTCAGCACCTTAAAGAAGTAGCAGATTCCATTTTCATTATAGTTTTTGTATTGTAATGTAGAGTCTTTGAACTGAACTTTGTTTAGGAGGTTCAATATTTAAAATATACAGGAAGATAATTAAGATATTGCAAAAATATGTGATTTAGTGTCAGAGTTATCTCTCCAAACATTACATGTATTAGATACTTTTCTTGACAGATAAACATATCAATATAAAACATTTTAAGCAGGATCTCCAGGAATTTTTGTTGCACATAATTGTTAAATTTGTTTATACCAAATGTTTAATTGTGGCATGCAACTAACTTCTTTAATATATGACATGTTTATACATGTATGATGATATTCTTAAAATAGAAATTTATTATTTGACATTGACAAAGTTGAAAATCTTTCAAATATGAAGTGAAGCACTTAAAATTGAAAAATGTGCTAAGGATAACAAAGAAAATTAATATAGTCAGAATATCATTGAAAATCAGTTTAATATGCAATTATTAGTTGAATTTGAGAATTTTTTGGACATTGTTCACATCTTTAAAAAACAGGATGAGGGAATGAGCTAAAGATTTGCACACAAATTATTGGATAAGACCTAAATGAATTGGTGCAAAAATCTCAGGGAAATATTTTAAGCCTTGTTATGTCCAAAAACCTCAGTGGAGTCCCTTTAACACACAGTCTGCCTCTTCTCAACTAAAACTTCAAGTCATGACCTGCTCTGTTCCAAAATTAATACGGTCCGCCCTGGCCCAATCTGCAGTGTGGCTTGGAATGGTTTGTGCTGTTACACAATCTGCTTCATCTCTCAATCAAAGGTGCCATTAAAATCTTCATTGTGAACCTTCTAGATGAAAATTGTTAATTATATTTTCTTATAAGTATAAAATGTTGGCAATGTTTTGTACTATATGCAGTTTTGAAGTGACATTTTTTTCGGTCACACATGGGTCAACCTAGAAAGGGGTTAACTTGTCCTATTATTAAAAAGAGATCAGCATTACTATAGATTCAGTCTTTTGTCTATAACTATATGTCAACTAATATATTAATTTAGAAATATTTACTCTGTTTTACCAGTGATTCCTGTAAATTTTGTATTTTGTAAAAAGATATGAAACAAACATAACTTAAGCATCTAAAAATCGTAAACTTTTTGTTTACAAATATGTTTTTGTATGCTAAACATTATTTGGACCCTTAAAATTATTTTATTGAAATTTGAATATTTCAGATTTTACTAGTTTACTAGGAGGGGGTGGGGTCCTGAGTCAAATTTTGGAGTGTTTTCACTGAAAAAATATAATTACATGTATGCCGATTTCATGTCAGCATACTCCATTTTAGCCAGGGGTCATTACTTCCTGTCTTCCTCATGTCATTAGTGACTTGGCATTCCAATGCAAAGAATTTAACGTATACAAGTATATTTTCTAGATTTAGAAGCAAACTTTGAACAAAATTTATAACACTTTTACAAAATGAAATTTATGAAGCCACCATTTGATTATAAACTGTGTTTGTTACTCAGAGCACTGAAGAAAACAGGTTAAGGGAATTGATAAAGTACGGATACTCTCACCCGAACCAAGCATAATATATTATATGGAATACAGCATGTATTGTAATCAAATGGTTGATAATTTATATATCTGTCATTTATAAATAATTTATTCTATTAAAAAATTTTAAAGTAGAGCACAAAATAAAAAAAAGTTTTGATAAGTAAATTTATAAGTCCATTTCCAAATTCATATTTGATATAATTTCATAAAATTATATATTATTAGTTATAAAGATCGTTGACAGGTTATATGGCCCTATATAAACGGCTATTTGTAAATATAACCCGAGCCGTTAGGCGAGGGTTATATTGCAAAAAGCCGTTTATATACGGCCATATAACCTGTCAACAATATTTATAACGAATTTATAATACAGCAAGCATCATTTTTTAGAGAAAAAAGTGAGATTTCTTCATGAATCGACAGCAGCCGTGTATATAAAACTATATAAACGTCACGATTATCCAATGAAAAATGACGTTACAAACGTGCGGTATTATAAAGTGACCTATATGAATTTTCTAATATCCAGACTTATTGTAATTGAACTAATTAATTTTGTGTTGACAGTTGGACCCATTGGTTTAATCATATTTTTTTGTCATTGACAAAAATATATTACTTGTACCTTTCAAAACATGTTTTTGATGTCAGTTATTGACAAGAAAATGACATGACCAATTAATTAAATTATGATGACCACATGATATGAATACTTTTGATGATTTCTGTCTTTCTTTTTTTAGTCAAGCTAATGACCTAGTATTATATAAGTTATTACTGTAACAAACACTCAAAATTAACTGAACTATAATGTTACTGTTTATTACCTTTCCAGATTTTTTCCGCCTTTTTGATTGGATATTGATCACCCGAAAGAAATTGATATAACCGAGCCAGACGGGTAATATACACACTAAATTTCCCCGTTGGGTACCCAACGTTGTAAACAACATGCGCTTAGGTGATGCGTGTACGGTTCGATTTTACGCGGTGTAAATTCCGATTTACAAGCACTTTTTAACTGTTAAATGATAAATATTTACCAAAGTAGAGTAATGATACATATTCCCATCAGTATTGAAAACAGATATGACCTTGTGAAAGCTTGATATTATTTACAAAAAAGTGCGTACAATAGACTACTCCTTTTCTCTTGTTTACATTCGTTTGGTACGGGAAAAATACGTCATGTATTTATGTGACGTCATGTTGTGATGAAGAGGTACCCTAAAGGGAATCTTATTTCGACATTTCATTTGAAACAGCAATGATTTTTTTAAAAATCGTCTAAACTCGGCAGGGGAAGGGTAATAAAATTATTATTTTGGTTTTGGAGTGATAAATGTGGATATATTACCTGCCAAGATAAAATATCACCCTCCCCTAACGGCTCGGGTGATATAAAATCTTAGCAGGTAATATATCCACATATATCACTCCAAAACCAAAATAACATATAATATTGATAATGCCACAGAAAAAAAAAGACTGTATAATGATTATGTTGTTTTGTTTTTTCAAGTATTGTTCTAACTTTACTTGTAAATTAATGTATTTTCCATGCCAAGGTTATGAAAATTTGGCTTCTTAATGCCTTTTTATTTCATGCTTTATAGTGTTTTACTGTAATATATCAGATGATTATATTCTGATAAACCACTAGTGAAATTTATAAAATATAATTTTCACTTTAGCCAAACTATATCTGAATGCAGATGAAAGAAATATGATAACTAAATGGAATAACAGGGGCAAAAAATAAATGCCGTCGTACGTACATTTTGCTTCTGCAGGAAAAGAAAGTGGATGTCATCATACATTGTTAAAAATGTAACAAACTTAAGAAATTTAATAGAACTATATTTCAAAATTGATGATGTGACGTCATGATGTGATGACGTCATAAAGGAGAATGCACAGCGTTACGCAGCAAAATCAGTATAAATACTTAAAATCACTGAAAAAAGCATGAAATAAAAAGAACATTTATTTGTTTTACATATAAGATTGAAATATATTTCATTCGTGAACACCAGCTATAATATTTCACTCGTGGCTACGCCACTTGTGAAAATATTGCATCTAGTGTTCACTCAATGAAATATAATTATGTCAATCTTACATGCAAAACAAACAAATATCCTGTATATGTTGATGTACTGTAGAAATACATGTATGAAATGTTTAATGCATACATTTGCTATACATGTATATGCTGAGGCTCACATGGAAGATGGGAAACCAAATGTGTCATAGCCTCATTAAATAAAGTTGTTATACTTACTTACTTAGTAATGATCACATAATATAAATACTTTTGATGATTACTGTCTTTTTTATGGTAAAAAGATCAGGCTGTTGACCTAGTATTATATAAATTATTATATAAATTATTACTGTAACACAAAATTGTAAGTGCACTTCTGACTGTGTCAATAGTTTTATATCATTTTGGTAATATATTATGTTATATTTGTCACAACATCAAAAGCCCAGTCTAGCACAAGACTAATGGAGTTATATAAGTATCTTTTAGATTGTAGTGGCCTTTTTTATGTATAAATTGCACAAACTGACAGAGTTGCTGTACAATAGGTTCTCTACAGTTACCATTCAAAATTAAGCTAAACTTTACTTGAGAGGGCGGGACTCAGGTGTGCACTCATTAGATTTGACATATATACATAAAGTAGTCAACACTTTACTGGTTTCTAAACTTTCAACATTATAGTAATTGACCTTGTACTGAACTTTGGTGTTCAGGGTTTAAAAATGAATTTGTATTGAAAAGTATTTTAGATTATTGTTATAAATTGTACAGGATATAAAGGTTTGTATTTTAGTTTTTGCATTACTGCAGTTGATGTATTTCTCAGGGCAATGACTAATTGACCATAATAATTATGATCAGCACATTTAAATTGGCATAACCTTATTTTTATATTACAGGGAAAACATACTTTGCAAGATTTTTGATTGAATTTTTTTTAAGAAATTTGAATTTTATCAATGTATTAAGGATTTTTATTATGAAAATAATAAATGAATTGTCATGAAAAATTCATAACTAAACAATTAATTAATTGCTACAGATGAATTACTAGAAAAATAAATGTAATTTACATGTATAACTTAATAAAACAATACAAATTCAATAACTAGATTTAAACAGATGCATAAAATAATGTGAGTAAATAATAGTTTGTTTTCTTTTCAGAATGAAGAATGTCTAGTGATTCTGGGTAGAAGATTTCTTGTACATTATTGATATACAATCTGGTACTTACAATGACCACACAAGGGTCAGTATCCCCCGCAGGGCCGACTCTAGGGGTGAAGTTGGTGAGTGCTGGTTTGGGAGGATGTATAGCAGAAATGGTTACATTACCCCTGGATATGGCCAAGGTCAGATTACAGGTACGTTATTTATGTATCTAAGTTATTTTTCTCTTTTTATTTACAGTGAAAATTGTTTATAATTGGATTTTATTCATGAACATTATATTGTAAAAGTGGTTTTGTTGAGCCAATGTCATGCAGACACAATTTTTACCTTGTTAGTATTGAGAACTGTTAGCAGACTTTATTATCAAAGTTTAATTTTTCTATATTTGGGTTGCCTGAAAGACAGGGTAATAATCTTAGTTATTGATTAATTAAACCTTTTTTGCATGGATTATATATGTCATTTATTTGTTCATGTATATGATGAATGAAATATATTTAAATCAAAAGAATCATTATGTTAATTTTCATGATAGTGATCGTAAATACACCAGATCATTGCAGTAACAATAAATCACTACTGTACAATATTCATAGCATCACAGAAAGTCTTCAAAACTTTCTTTGACCTTAAGAGTAAGAAAATACTGCACTTGAAAAATAATATTCTTATTAAATTTTTGTATTATTTTTTCACCAGTTTAAGCTTTATACCAAATTAAAGTAATATTTACGACAGGATTTGCTCTCTCTTAAAATCTTTATTAGTCCCCTACCGGTTTACCGGAGGGGACTTTAGGTTTACCCTCCGTCCGTCTGTCTGTCTGTCCGTCCGTCTGTCCGTCCGTCCGTCAGTCCGTCCGTCCACAAAACTGGATCCCGCAATAACGCAAAAAGTACTGAAAATATTTTTATGAAACTTGATATATGGATAGATGGCAGTATGGAGATTATGCACGTCTTTTTCTTTTCTTCCTATGTTGAAAATTCTGGTTGCTATGGCAACAAATACACTGAAAATATGGCAAATTTTACACATAACCTGGATCCCGCGATAACGCAAAAAGTACTGAAAATATTTTTTTATGAAACTTGATATATGGATAGATGGCAGTATGGAGATTATGCACATCTTTTTCTTTTCTTCTTATGTTGAAAATTCTGGTTGCTATGGCAACAAATAGACTGAAAATATGGCAAATTTTACACATAACCTGGATCCAGTGATAACACAAAAAGAACTGTAAATATGTTTATAAAAAAACTTGACATATGGGTAGATGGCAGTATGGAAATTATGCACATCCTTTTTCTTATCTTCCTATGTTGAAAATTCAGGTTGTTATGGCAACAAATAGAGTGAATATCAAGATTTCTGATTCTAGTTTTTAAGTTTTTTCACTATAAGTTCTTTTTAGTCCCCTACCGGTTTACCGGAGGGGACTTTAGGTTTACCGTCCGTCTGTCTGTCCGTCCGTCAATCTGTCCACAAAACTGGATCCCGCGATAACGCAAAAAGTACTGAAAATATTTTAATGAAACTTGATATATGGATAGATGGCAGTATGGAGATTATGCACGTCTTTTTCTTTTCTTCCTATGTTGAAAATTCTGGTTGCTATGGCAACAAATACACTGAAAATATGGCAAATTTTACACATAACCTGGATCCCGCGATAACGCAAAAAGTACTGAAAATATGTTTATGAAACTTGATATATGGATAGATGGCAGTATGGAGATTATGCACGTCTTTTTCTTTTCTTCTTATGTTGAAAATTCTGGTTTCTATGGCAACAAATAGACTGAAAATATGGCAAATTTTACACATAACCTGGATCCAGTGATAGCGCAAAAGGTACTGAAAATATGTTTATGAATTTGACATATGGGTAGATGGCAGTATGGAAATTATGCACATCCTTTTCTTATCTTCCTATGTTGAAAATTCTGGTTGCTATGGCAACAAATAGACTGAATTTCAAGATTTCTGATTCTAGTTTTTAAGTTTTTTCACTATAAGTTCTTTAGTTCTTAAGGTATTTTCTTCAAACTTTAAATATAAGTTGCTTGTCATTAACCACATCATATGTGACAAGGTTTACAACTCTAGCACAAAAATTATCAGAATTACCTCCCTTGAACTTAAAATTTTCATGAAAAAATCATTGTTTTCTTTAATAACTTCTTTTTCTGAATGTATCTACTTCAAACTTCATATAAATGTTTCTTATTGTCACTCAACATTTATGAGTGTTCAATACTCTAGCAAGACTATTTCCAGAATTATGCCCCTTTTTAACTTAAACTTTTTTTTGAGAAATTGGTAATTTTTACTCCAACTTCTTCAATCATGATAGGATTTTAAAAATGTTATATTTTGATAACAGGGATGTTTAAAAAATAACTTTAGAGTGTCCTTCAGTCCGTCTGTCTGTACATAAAAACTGTTTCCTGTGATCACTTTTAAAGAACTTTTTCAACAAATTTACTTAAAATAGGAACCTATTTAGTGAATGGCCAATGGCCCTTCAAAATGTTGCTTTGGCTCTTACCGGTAGGGGACTTATGGATTGCTTGCAATACTATGATAATTGCTTGTTGATTATAAATTCTTTCCCATTTATCTGTTATTTACTAAATTTGCCTTAAAATTATCAACTTGATAACACATTTAAAGTTTGAATAAAAAATCTGATAAAAGCATGTCATTCAAAGTCTTTTGCATTGTGATTTGTTCTAATCTTAAGAGTTTAATGTTTCATGATTGCAGTAGCAGTGATTTATCATTTCAATGGCCATTATGGGATATTATTTCTTGAAAATATGAACATTAGACATTGATTAAAACTCAACAAAGTAAAACATACAAATGTTATCGAGTATGATAATTGATAATCATATACATCGATTTTAGACGAAAATTGGCATTAATTTTTCAAAATTGCAAACTGTATTGAATATATACTTTTTGTCAAAGTATTATGATAAGAAAATGTTACTTTTAAAAATTGATATATTTCTCTATATTGAATATTTTCAGGTGAGAAATGTCAAATGTGAAAGTTGGGCCAAATCCATGCGACTCCTTGTAAATGGTGATTTTGTTAGTTTAAAAACTCTCCCTAAAAAGGCTCCAGGAATGATAAAAACTATGAATATGATTGTCCAGTATGAAGGAGCCAAGGCCTTGTACTCAGGACTGGTACCTGGCTTACAAAGGCAAATGTGTTTTGCTACTATAAGACTTGGTTTCTATGATGAAACAAAGGCGAGATATCAAAGCCTGTTTGGCCAAGGTTAGTGTACCTAATTGTAGAGTATTTCTGTAAATCTAATATTTATTAATGAAAAGTAATCTCGTAAAAAGTTTCCATTACCATTTTTAGATGATAAAAATTGTCCAATCACTGAAATAATATATTCGCTATTGAAGGGCACCTGCGGTCTTCCTTCAAAAATACAGCTGGGAAGTTGCCATTCCTTTACTCTATTGGTGTGACTTAGAAAATTGGGAAACCAAATGTATAGCCTCTGCAAATAAAGCCTTTACTTACTTAAAATTAGAGGAAGAAACCACTCAAGTACCTAAAGAATGCCCAAAACAGCAAAATTAGAAATGTTCCATGTTTAGTTTGGTTAAGCCTCTTCATGGAATGGTACTTTAGTAAAAGCCAATAAAATTGGGGAAAAAACTATATCCAGTATGTCTTGTTTAATTTTAGATGCAGATTCCACTCCAAACGTATTCATCAGGATTCTGTCCGGTCTCACTACTGGTGCTCTATGTGTAACTGTTGCTCAACCTACCGATGTAGTCAAGATTCGGATGCAAGCCTCCGGTGCAATAGGTCATCACGCATATACTAAAGTGTTCAAGGCATATTCACAGATTTTTAATACTGAAGGAATGAAAGGGCTCTGGAAAGGTAAGAAAACTTTACTTGAATAATATGGATTATTAAAAAAGTGTCACAAAAAGTCATTCATGAAATTCTGTCACTAATACAGTAATGTATCAAATGAAAAGGTACCAAGTGGTAGGAAAGTGTTCCAGATCCATAGTTAAACTCCTGTCTGTTAAACAGTTTATTTAAGATGTCTTTAAGATGTTACTGTTATTGAACCTGGTATACAGATATGTTGTATTACATGTACATGTATTAGTGAATATAATTATTTATTTTATAAAAGATGAAATACTGGTCTTTAATTGAAGGTCACCATGGCAAAAATGGTTACATGAACTGCAAACAGTTCAGTAGTTAAAGATGTGACCAAAATAGACAGAATTTTGACAGAATTAACAGAAAATGTTTGCTTATCAGTAATGCTCTGATGTATTTAAAAAAAAAATGACTAAACAGTGATGTTTTTGAAATATTTACTTAACAGTGATATCTTTAAAAAAATGACTTAACAGTGAGGTCTGGTAATAGATTTTAACACAATCAAAAGTTTTGAAACATTTGTGTCCCACAAGTCCTACATATGTAGTTGTCCAGGTATAACATTCACTTATATACAAAATCCTTTATGGATTTTTTTTACCATCTAAGGAAAGAAAAGAGAAGCTGTAGTTTGTAGTGCTTTTAAACTCTTTCTAGCTCTATTTCAATGACAAGTTTATGCTTTAAAGTGACATTGTGCTCTTTTTTGGCTGTCAGGTTGAACTAAATTAGCTACATATATTTCAAAAGATTGACTATCATAATGGTGATTGAGCAATAATTGATAATGACAAATGATTAGGATACAATATAAAAACTGTCTCAAATATATAACAACTGCCACACTCTTACCAATAACTTAAGAAGGATATTTCCTGGTCACATGAATTATTGATTACATTGTACATGTATTTTATTATCGCATAATATAAAATTGAAAAGAATTATGGTGAAATGTAAAGTTATTTTAACTTTCCATTTACACTTGGATGGGCATGACGTCAATTCAAGGCAGATACTTTGGTAAATGTTTGTTGCTTCCAACTTTAATATTAAAATGATTTTTTTTCTTTCCAGGTTATATTCCAAATGTAGCAAGAAACAGTATTATGAATGTATCAGAGCTAGTCACGTATGATATGATTAAAGAGGAAGTATTAAAACATAAGTATTTAGAGGACAATCTACTGTGTCATATAGCATGTGGGTTTGGTTCAGGATTTGTCTCCACTATTATAGCATCACCTATAGATGTTGTGAAAACACGTTTTATGAGCTCATTTGTCGGACAATATACTGGGGTTATTGACTGTCTAGTGCAGATGGTCAAAGAAAATGGCCTCCGTTCTTTATATAAAGGGTAAGTTAACAACTTTAGTAATTATTTAGGGCCTCTGCTTTGTGTAAAAAGAGTAACTTTACAACTTGAGTAATTATTTAGGGCCTTTGTACTCTGTATAAGGGGTAAGTTTACAACTTGAGTAATTATTTAGGACCTCATCTCTCATTTAAAGGAATAAAAAAACAAGTGTATGGACATATTGATTTTGCAGTGAATTGAAATATAATATTAAATTATTGAATCATTCACAGGTATATTTTATTCATCTTTTTATGAAATATAACTGATATAGAAAAAATCATTGTTCACTTTTTTTCTTAAGATGCAGTTACATGTAAATTGTAATCTATGGTTAATTAATCATATTAAAAAATGCATGACTGATTTTGTTTTGTATTTTACAGTGTTGTGCCTTCCTTTATGCGAATTGCTTCATGGAATGTTGTTATGTTTGTTTGTTATGAAGAAATAAAGAAGCTTTTACATCAAGGTAACCATGAAACATATCAGGCCATACAAGAGTTAGTGACACAGGAGGACTGAAGAATCTTCACTGCCAGAAAATATATATACTTGTGTCTCTTCCATGAAACCTCAGAGTGTTATATACATGTATAACTGTCCTTATATATGAAATGTATGTGTTTGAGATGTGAGTTAATTGATGATTTAATGTTAGGTTTGAGAGTATAAATTTTCAGATTTGTTGTTGAAAATTCTTCACTGCCTTGTGTTGATTAATTCAAACAAAAATTTAAGATGTCCATCTTATTATGATCAATGAAATGCAGTCATATTTTATACAATGACAAGAGAACAGCTCTTTTGTTGTGTAAAAAGATCTGGATGTGATTTTAGACCCATGTAACATTTAATTGCAATCTCATTTTTTATAGTTATTTCTAGTGTAGACAGATCAATTTTAAAATTGACAAAAATTATACATTTTATATATCATTTATCTATATTTTATACATTTTTATGCCCCCCTTCGAAGAAGAGGGGGTATATTGTTTTGCTAATGTCGGTCTGTCTGTCTGTCTGTCGGTCGGTAGACCACATGGTTTCCGCTGATTATCTTGAAAAGTATTTATCACAAAGTCTTCATACTTCACATAGTGATTTGTCATAACAAGTAGATGACCCCTATTGATTTTGGGGTCACTAGGTCAAAGGTCAAGGTCACAGGGACCTTAAATGTCAAAATAATTTCCGCTGATTATCTTGAAAAGTATGTATCACAAAGTCTTCATATTTCACACTAAGATTGGTCATCACTAGTAGATGACACCTTTTGATTTTGGGGTCACTAGGTCAAAGGTCAAGGTCACAGGGGCCTTAAATATCAAAATGGTTTCCGCTGATTATCTTGAAAAGTATGTATCACAAAGTCTTCATATTTCACATAGTGATTGGTCATCACAAGTAGATGACCCCTATTGATTTTGGGATCACTAGGTCAAAGGTCAAGGTCACAGGGGCCTTAAATGTCAAAATAATTTCCGCTGATTATCTTGAAAAGTATATATTACAAAGTCTTCATATTTCACACAAAGATTGGTCATCACTAGTAGATGACCCCTTTTGATTTTGGGTGTCACTAGGTCAAAGGTCAAGGTCACAGGGGCCTTAAATATCAAAATGGTTTCCGCTGATTATCTTGAAAAGTATGTATCACAAAGTCTTCATATTTCACATAGTGATTGGTCATCACAAGTAGATGACCCCTATTGATTTTGGGGTCACTAGGTCAAAGGTCAAGGTCACATGGGCCTTAAATGTCAAAATGGTTTCCGCTGATTATCTTGAAAAGTATGTTTCACAAAGTCTTCATATTTCACATAGTGATTGGTCATCACTAGTAGATGACCCCTATTGATTTTGGGGTCAATAGGTCAAAGGTCAAGGTCACAGGGGCCTTAAATGTCAAAATGGTTTCCGCTGATTATCTTGAAAAGTGTGTATCACAAAGTCTTCATATTTCACATAGTGATTGGTCATAACTAGTAGATGACCCCTATTGATTTTGGGGTCACTAGGTCAAAGGTCAAGGTCACAGGTGCCTTTAATGTCAAAATGGCTTTCGTTGATTTTTCCATAATTGAACACTTCCATGTACCCATTTTTTGGCAAGTTTCTGTAATAAAATTACCAATTATGTGAGTCAATGGCTAGAAAGGGGGGTATATGTGTCGTTCGACATTCTTGTTGTTAATAATATTTAATCTAGATTATTTATTTTCTTCTGCGTATAAGGAAAACACATTTTGATTTACCTTAGAACAAACTGCTATATTTTATACTTTGACTGTGATTGTAAGAAAATGATCTAAGTTTTAGACAGAGTCTTGCATCAGTATAATAAGTATTATGTCCATATCCTTGTCTTTTTTTATTTGCTCACCTGTCAAAAAGTGACAGGGTGAGCTATTGTGATCGCTTTTCGTCCGGCCGTCGTCTGTCTGTCGTCCGTAAACTTTTACTTTAAATGACATCTCCTCATAAACCACTAAGCCAATTTCATCCAAACACAGGAATGTTCCTTAGGTGGTCACCTTTGAAAATTGTTCAAAGAATTTAATTCCATGCAGAACTCTGGTTGCCATGGCAACCGAAAGAAAAAACTTTAAATATCTTCTTCTAAAAAACCCAAAGAGCTAGAGCTTAGATATTTGGCATGAAACATCTTCAAGTGAGTGTCTACCAAGTTTGTTCAAATAAAAGCCCTTGGGTCAAAATTGGCCCCAACCCAGGGGGTCATTGATTTTCCCTATATGCATATAGTAAAACTTAAAAAATCTTCTTTTAAAGAACACAAAGAGCTAGAGCTAAGAAATTTAGCATGAAACATCTTCTAATGGGTGTCTACCAAGTTTGTTCAAATAAAAGCCCTGGGGTCAAAATTGGCCCCGCCCCAGGGGTCATTGATTTTCCTTATATGTGTATAGCAAAAACTTAAAAAATCTTCTTTGAAAGAAACCAAATAGCTAGAGTTTAGATATTAAGCACGAAGCATCTTCTAGTGAGTGTCTACAAAGTTTGTTCAAATAAAAGCCCTGGGGTCAAAATTGGCCCCGCCCCAGGGGACATTGATTTCCTTATATAAGTAAAGCAAAAACTTAAAAATCTTCTTTGAAAAAACCCAAATAGCTAGAGTTTAGATATTAAGCATGAAACATCTTCTAGTAAGTGTCTACAAAGTTTGTTCAAATAAAAGCCCTGGGGTCAAAATTGGCCCCACCCCGGGGGTCATTGATTTTCCTTATATGTGTATAGCAAAAACTTAAAAATCTTCTTCGAAAAATCCGAATAGCTAGAGTTCAGATATTAAGCATGAAACATTTTCTAGTAAGTGTCTACAAAGATTGTTCAAATAAAAGACCTGGGGTCCAATCTGGCCCTGCCCCAGGTGTGTCATTGTTTTTAACTATATGTGTAAAGAAAAAACTTGACCAGCTAGACCTTAGATGTTTAGCATGAAACATCTTCTAATGGGTGTCTACCAAGTTTGTTCAAATAAAAGTCCTGGGGTTTAAACTGGCCCCGCTACGGGGGCCTATATACAGGTGAGCGACTTCAGGGCCATCATGGCCCTCTTGTATACAATACTCTTTATTTTACTCCTTATTCTTTATACTCATTAAATGATTAAACTTGTCTAAGACATTAAAAGTTTTCATGGTTGTACTGACCTCTTGATGAGACAATATTATGATCTTTCTTAGAAATTAACTTGTATTGTCCTTCAGCTTTCCTTGCACTGCCATGTCAGTATATTGTATTAAGAATAATTTTAGCAGAATTGGCTGTGTTAAAAGGAAGGAAATTAGACTTAATTTATTGCAAAAATTATTTTTTATCATGAAACTTTAAATATTAGACAAGAAAAATCTTGTCAGTTCATTTAATGAAAAAAAAAAAAAAAACGGAAAAAAACATTAATTCTTGAATGCATTTTAATAGCATGAACTGAAGAAAAAAACTCAGACAAACTGTAATAGTAAAGACACAGTATACAATAATAAAAAAAGTATTCAATAAAGAATTATAACTTATAACTACAGAAGCCAAAACTGTTTTGCTTTCACATATTACACCAATTAAGATAAACAATTTATCATCTTTCATAGTTTTTTCATAGTATTCGAACAAATGTATGTGCCCATTTAATGTTAAAAATGTTAGAATTGTTGTAAAATTTTCTTATATTCATTTTGTTTTTAGCAGTCCTTTTACTAGGATAGTTGTATTGATAATAAAGTAGTACTGTATTTATACTTATGTAAGCCCCCTTTCAAAACAAAATGTCCTTGCATAAAGCACTTTGTTGTTGTTTTCCTATGCCTCAATGGAATAATATTAGAAGAAATAGATATATTTATATTGTATATGTGTATGTGCAAGTAGTGAGCAAATCAATTAATCTGTATAAAAGTGGGCCATGTTATTATGAATGTTACACCTTATGTATATTCGCATATTTCATACATAAAGTTTGCCATATAACTTGTGTAACATATCTACCTCAATACATGAAAAAGGCCAAAGATTAATAGTCAGTTACATATTAGTCAATATTATACAATACTTACAATAGCATATGTTAATGTAGAATGTATTGAAGTAGTAACAAATAAGATATATATGTACATACAATGTAATGGACAGTAACTCAACATTAAATTGTTTCCACTAACAGCTGCTTTGATGTCATTATATAATATTGCATGTTTGTCACATCACTTTTCTTTTGATTTTAAGTCACGATGCTTATTTGGATTTTATGTACACGGCTACTGTCAATTTTTGAAGAAATCTCACTTTTTTCTCTAAAAAAAGATGCTTGCTGTATTTATATAATTATTCATATTATTATTTCGGACAGGTTATATGGCCGTAGAGAAATGGTTGTTTACATTATAACCATCACATTGTGGCTTGGGTTATATTTGCAAACAACCATTTATATAGGGCCATATAACCTGTATAAAATCTTTAGAACTTATAATATATGTATTGAATGGTTAAAATATGTTTAATGATTTTGACAGTGTTGGTTTTACATAAAACTTGTCTTATCTCTAATAGAACGAGATTGGATGCTATGAAAGATTAATTCAAGCACAATAAATCTTGAAATATGTGTTGATAAGAAAGTATAGCCCTAATCTCTGTTTTTGTTTACTTTATAGAGATAATGGGTATATTTTTTTTATAGAGACAATGGCTATATTTTATTATAGATAAAAGGGCTATACTTTTTTTTTACAGAAATATGTGTTATATTTTTATAGAGAAAAAGGCTATATTTTTTTAAAGAGAAAAATGATATATTTTATTTTGGAGAAGGGCTAAATTTTTGTATAGAGATAGGGCTATATATTTTCATATAACTGCATATTTCTTGATTTATTGATTAAATATAAAGTTCCAGAGAGTGATTGAAAGTGATAATGTATAAGCTTGTTTAACAGTTTATAGAATATATATAATCTAAAATAGATGAACATGTTGTTTTGAATCTGAATTTGCCTCTTTATTAAAGCATATTAACATGGTAAGTAAATAATGGTGGGGTTCACTAGCATTAAAACATACAATAAACATGTGAAACTCTAGACTGTTTATAAATAACATATCTCTAAAAACTGTGTTATATTTACTTCTATGGTAACTTTTTCATGTCATCATGCATTTTATGTCTGATTAACATGTGGTTTTTTGTACTCTCATTCCTGTATGCCATATGGTTAATGATAACATAATGTATTCTGAGGAAAGTTTGCTGTGTTTAGGGACAGTTTTATTTTTGTTTTACACAAAGAAAAATTAATATTACTACTGTTTGTTTAAGTTTGTCTGAGCTTGTCAGTTATCAAACTTCAAGTATTATGTATTTTTTCTTACCTACTAGTA